AATAATACATTTTCTTTCCTCTCTCTTTTTACAATTATCCAAATAAGGAAAATATACTTTTTTTTCTTTCATTTCTACTCTTATCCAAATAACAAGTGAAAAATAGTTTTATTTCCTCCCAAGAGGAAATATCCAAACAAAGGGTTAGAGTACACTATTTTGGATTTTCCCCTATAGAGATTGCGGATTTTTTTATTTCAAAATGTAGTTGGGATTGCTATCACGCATTAACACGGTTTCGTTTTATATTAGTCAATTTTTCTCCAAAATTAATTAAATAATTTATCTAATTTTATCATGTATAATTTTAATTTGTTTAGTTTTGAAATGAGTCCAAACTACATAATATATAAATTAAATTAAAAATAGATCTCATCCAATCGAAATGTTTTTGCAAAAGAATGAATACAAGTATTTTGATAAAGTCGGTATCTATGTTTTGTCTTTAAAATGCATAAAGATGTTTGTCCGGTAGGTTCAAAATAAGATGTGTTTAAAAAAAAATCAATTATTACTTCTTTTAGTTTTTGCTAACAAGTTAAAGAACTTTAGTTTAATAAAATTTGACTTTCTTCAACTTAAATATAATCGACCAAATATGAATAACATGATAAGATTCTATTGGTTAATTAAGGATCATTTTCTATTCATTATAAATGTCAATCTCACATTATTATAAGAGATTTCAAATTTCTAAATCTTAGCAAAATATCTTAATACCTTCCAACTTATACACCAAACAACATTTAAAATTTCATTTGTTTCTCGCCTCTTCCCTTGTGCTTTGTTATTTTTATATTCTCGCTACTCGACTTGTACCTTATTAGCATTACATATTTCACCTTTTGCATTTATAAATTACAATCCTAACTTTTTATATTTTGATCGGTTTGTTGATCATTTATTCCATTTGTTTTTGTCAAAAAATCATTCTCGATCTAAAAACTTAAACAATTATATGAGACTCCGGGAATGATTTTATCTAACTCTCTAACGTACTTTCTCAAATAAAAACTCTTATTAATTAAATTAAAGACTCAAGTAAAAATTCTTATTAATTAAAAAGAAAAAAGTAAAAATCCTTATAATTAAAAAGAAAAAAAATGATGAGATTTGAATTCATAATCACTTAGTCAATAAAATTTTAATACTATATTAAAAAATAATCTCAATTCCAAAATTTAAATCATTCAGTATAATAGTTTTATCTTGTTGCAAATTTCTTTGAAATATTGAAACTTACAATTATTAATAAGACAATCAATTTTACGAGTAATGATTACATGTATTTATTTCTCCAACTTAGCTATTGACCAATCTGATTATAAAATGGCACGTGATCGAATGAGTCATGTCATAAGTGATAACCATTTAAAATAAATAAATAAATGTAAATCAGGTAGCTAATGAAACGATTGACCTAGTCAGTACTTAAGTTTTTCCTCTCTCTCTCTCTCTCTCTCTCTCTCTAAAATCTCTAAACCGTCCTTTCAGTCTCTTTTTTTTTTTTTTTGGAAAAAAAGTGCCAATTCTTGCAAAAATCCAGTAATGCTAAGAAATGAGTAGATTATAAATCAGTGCCTCTCACTTTGAGAAATGAATTAATTAATTTTTCTGATTTTAAAAATTAATTATCTAATTATTTTTATTATTTTTAATTTATTGTTATTTTTTGTTTTAATAAATAAAAAATAAATAAAAATATGAAAAAATCGACGAGATAAAAGGATATTGTATAAAATAAAATAAAATAATTAGTTATGATCCATATTAGTTAAAATGATTAAATAATTAATTTTTTCAATTAAAAAAATTAATTAATTCGTTTTTCAAAATCAAAAAAATTAATTTATAGCTTACTCGCTAAGAGATCAACAATTACATACATGATTGGAATTCTATTTGTGTTTTTTGGCTTTATTTTTTGTACAAATAAATTTTTTTAAATCCATGTTCTTTTAAAAAGGAAGACAATAATACTTGTTAAGTAACAGTTCATAAAAGAATATTTATTAACCATAAATATATAGATAAGTTGAATACATATTTATGGTAGAAAATAATACACATTTCATACCAACAAGTACGTTGAGGTTTTTTTCATAATAACGTATTTTTTTTATCTTATTTCTTATAATAGTGTAGTTTTAAACTTATTTTCTATAATAAGGTACTATGTGCCCAATAAATAATAAGGAAACAAAACTATAACCCTGTGTAAAATCGATGGCACATCATTAGTTTAAATTGGCCCCCTTCTTCAAAACTAGGGCCGGCAGCCTTTAATAAGGAGGGGAAGGGCGGCTGCCATTGTCGATCGAAATGTGCCTCTACCAAGAAATGTGGAACCACTTCTTAAACTTGCAGATGTAGCCGTGCTTATTTTGAGAGAAAAGCCTAGCGAGCGTCCCAGCATGTGTTATGTGGAAAATTTGTTGGATCAGATTATGAAATGGGATCGATATTCTAATCAAATTCATTCATAAATCAAGAACTTTGCGAGGAACATTTTCAATGAGCACGTACTTGTCTATTGCAGTGAGTCTTTCTTGCAAATAATGTGTTTTATATGTCTAATTCATTATCTTTTTCACAAAGTGAAGGAGATGGTTATTGTTGTCATACGATTTTGCAATTTTCCATTCATTAAAAAGTTCTTCGATGGTTTCTGATGTCGTAAGATTTCCCACCATTTTATCCGGTTTTTATTTCGTTTTAATATCCTGTACTATATGTAAAATTCACATAGACAAGGCATGTTTTCTGTTTTCTTTTTTTTTTTTTTTAATCTCTTCTAACATCGGTTCAAATCAGTCAAGACAACAAAGACTGTTGCTGTCTTAAGACAAGAACAGGTTTGCATCTTGTACATCGGTGATGCCAAGTTTGCAATATTTTAACGGAGTAGTTTGCAGACCTCTCCTTCATTGACATGTCCGCATTCAAGTTTATGATATTACAGACCTCTCCTCTATAGAAAAGGTCCTAAGTCTGAATTTTCTCTTCCAAAAAACTATCGAAATATGTCATCAGTGATGCTGAAATTGCTCCACACTAAACTTAATTTTCCCAGCAGCAATTTCTATACGTCTTTTGGATTGGAAAAAAAAAAAAACTTTATCAAAAATAAATAAATAAATAAATAAAATTTAGAAAAGTACCTTAATTCACGATGTACATATGCTAAAAAACATTTTCTAATAATTATGGTTTTGAACTGTAAGATTATTTAAATTTTAAGAAATTAGAACAAAGACAATCAAAAAGAGACAAAAAGGATAAGTTAATTTTTTCTTTTATGTTTCTAATTTTTTAAAATTATTATATTAAATATGTATTATAACGAGTTAATTAAAAAGATGACATGGATGCTTATATGTCAAAACTACCCCTTTTTTTATAAATAAGATTTAAAATACCTTATTTTGAAAAAATAGATTAAAAAGTATCCTATTTAGGAAAAAAAAACTCCAAGTATGTTATTAGAATAAATTCAAACTCAAATTAAAAATTAATTTCTAATTCAACAAGTTTTCTTGTTGTCAAACCAATCTCTCACATGCCCTATTAAATAGTGTTTTTATTCCTTCAAATGTATTTGATGAAACAACCCTTTATAATGGATTCTAACATTGATCTAAAGAACTTTTTTCTATTTTAGTCAAAAGAATTTAAATTCATATTTTTTTAAAAAAATATTTCTATTTCATATTAAAAAAAGAATTAATTATATTTGAGACGAAAGTGATAAAGTTTAAGTTTTTCTAATAAATAAAATTTAATAACTCAAGCTCTGTATACTCATAAAAAATTTATCTGATAATCAACTTATTACCTGCTCGCCAACAGCTTGAAACGCACCAAAACCAGTAAGAATTAAGAAGATGCATGCGGTTGGAGGCTTATTGGAAGCAAAACATCTCCTATGGGCCTGGGCTTGCCATTTGTGACCAGCCCACATCGGACCATGTGTTTCTCTAAAAGTCTAAACAGGCACGCGTACGACCGACAGGGAGGGTGGGCCACTTGACGGGCCACAAGAATGCGTCACAACTTACACGTGATGGGATTAAGTTATGTGTTTTTTTTTTAATAAATCACTGCTATTTGGTATCGTTTTCTAATTTTTTGTTTTTTTCAAAAAAAAATCAAAATCTGTTTAATGTTATTATATATATTTGTTGACTGTTTATTTTAGAAGGAAAAAGAATATGATATAGATTAATAAATATAATAATATATTATTAATTAAAAATATAAGAGGTAATATTATTATGTAATTTTATGCTGATTAAAAGGTAGCACAGTGACAACAACATGTATTATAGCAATAGTAGTAACGAAGACATCGTAAAAAATGATACGATGCTAAAAATAATGATAAATATTATAATAATATTGAATTTATGATGATTTTTATTTTATTTGTAAATAAAAGTGTTTGTAGTGAGAAATAATGATACGGTGAAGTTAGTCCTAATATATTTGTAAAAGTTATGAAAATAATAAAATTTTTGATATTGAAATTAATTATAATTCTAGTAATGTTGAACAAGATAATGTACGTAAAGAAATGAAATAAAAGTAATGGTTGTGTTAATTATGATTAAAAAATAAAAAAATCTCTCTCTCTCTCTATAGAAACGTGGCATCATCTAAATGGAACTTAATGACTATAAAACTAATTTAGGGATCCCATATTTTTACGAGAGAGCGAAATAAAGGGTGTGCTGAATAATTCATCGATCAAGAAAGAGAGAAGCAGCAGAAAGAAGCCTAATCGCTAGCAACCAGAAGGTTCGTCAATAGAGGGCAGGCAAAGCAAAGCAACCCTCAAAACCCTGTTGCTTCCCTCACTATTTCTTGTCAAAGAATCGTGGGTTTATCTTCTTTCTCTCTTTTGCATTCTCCTTTTAACAAATCGTTAAATATATCATTCAATTTTGATAGAAACGCATAGAATCTTACGAAGACAAGAGCATATAATTGGCTGAGAGAGAATGTCAAAGAAGAAAGCTTTTAGTGGCAATACAATGAGTCTTAAGGACTTTCATGGTGGCTCTATCCCTACTGACCTACATTTGCCTTCTGCTCCTGGTGTGTAAGTCCCAATTCTTGCTTCTTTTTCAATTTCATTATTATTATTATTATCGTGTTTGTGTTTGTAATTATTATTTTTGACGTTTTGAGGTGAGCCCAGAAGGGATTTAATTATCTGAAGTTGAATGTACATAAATGCCGAGTCTTCGTTGTATAATTGTCACTGGTTGTAAGCACTGGATGTGAAAGTTTCTATCTTTATATTGATTTTGCGTTTTTTTTATGAAGAATTGTTAGGTCTAACGATTGGTCTGGTCATGACCGACCAAATTCATGGGGCGGTCGAATGACTCGTCCTGATCACTGGGTTAGGCCCCGTTCGTCCCAGGCCATTAGGCATTGGGATGATAAACCCCCGTTTCTTAGTGGTAATGTACGCATTGGTAGTAACTTTGATGAGGATGAAAGGAAGCCCTTGGATGGTTTTTCAGCTCCACGTCGAACATTCAGTGACGAGAGCTTTCGGGTTGCACCAAGTAAGGTGGAGTCAGTGCCAGAGGCTGCATTGAGTGGGCAGGTAACCGGTTCGTATATGGCTGCTTCGATCGCAGGGTCACATGCAAAGAGGGTTCATGAGAGAGCTCATGTGGAGGTGCATTCGCAGAATATAGGAGGTAATGGAGGGTCATATGCAACTGCATGGACAGTTAGGAAGGAGTTGGCCATGGGCATAAATGAGCCACTGTGGTCAACCTGGTCAGAAACAAGCGCTATGTCGAAGTTTGCTCATGCAAGTGCACTTGAAAAGGTATCTTCAGGTCGATGGCAGGTCAATCATCCAATTCATAATCAGACAAATGCTGAGGTTGTTAAACATCTGGAAACAGAGAAAGGTAAAGGTTCAGGGGGTATGATGGTTATACATATAATAGGATGAACGTGGTAGGTAGGAGGGAAAATTCTGATGCAGTGTTGGCAAGGCATACGGAAAGGGGTCTGGCTATTGAGGATAGGAACCCAGGTCATAGAAAGGAGTTTGTTGATTGTGACAGGGACAGGGCTCCTTTGCATTCAGAATTGAAAGGGAGAATCCCATTAATTCATGTTGACAGGGTTCAACCACTGTGTTCAGAGGCCAAAATTGGTGGGCCTATGGTGCAACCTGAAGGATCAGAGCGACCTAAGATGACGTTGCTTTTAAGAACAAAGCTGATGGAGAATTCAGAACTTCCTGTCCCTCATCACAAGCAGGTAAAAAATAAATTCCTAACCATGGTGAGTTTAGTTTTAAGTTCCCTTTTGTAACTTCTATCATTCTATTGAATGTAGGAGAACCAACTGCCAAGCAACCCTGTCCATGATCATCCCGTAACTTGTAAAGAGTTGCACCCAAATGTTTATGCTGCAAAACCTACTTCAGTTGGTGTTGAGACTGAGAATCAAATGGTAGAGCGGCGGAAATTGAATTTAAAGCCACGGTCACAGCCTCTTGAACAGTTAGATGGGAACATTGAAAGGGAAAGGTGGGGATTTCATTTTTTACTGTTGTATTGTTGCTGCTCTTTGTCAGTACTTTATGTTCATGGAATACTGAATGCAGAAGTAAAAGACTAAATATTTAAACTTATTTTGAAGTGATAATTTTATTCTCAGTAGAAGTAGAGTTTAAGCTTTTCTTTAGCTCAACTCAAACTTGAGGAGAGCTTTAAACCTGTTTTAATACGTCCAATCTGAATCTGAAGATCCCAATATTCGGTTTGGTTGAACTCATTTTCAGTCCCAATCTGAATCTGAAGATCCCAATGTTCGGTTTGGTTGAACTCATTTTCAGTCCCACATGCATCTCCATTTCTCAGAAGAGGGATGCAATTCTTTTTTTCCTATGACCTTTTTATCTTTCATAATGTGGCTGATCCTTGGTATTTATAAGCATTCACTTATGATATCTTTGATTGATGCAGGAACATGTTGTTTGGTGGTGCTCGCCCACGTGAAGTTGTGAGTTGATTCGTTATCCCCACAGTTAGGAGTTCAGGAATCAAATTCATGATTAACTTTAACACTGTTTCTGACAGATATTTGATCTGTTTGTTATTGACTTTATAAGTTTTTGTGGCGCACATCTACCTACCGTGCACAGAAAAGCGAAAGGGTCAAAGTCACAAGAAACCCCATCTTTGTTCAGCCAATTTTATTTGTAAAGCCTATTAATTGTGTATTGCTTCGTTAGTTCTCATGGCGAGCTTGATGGCATTGCCAATACACTTTTCAGGTTTTGAAGGAGCGAGGAATTAATAATGCTGCCATGAGCAACCATGACTTGGGTTGGCATTTTGACAGGTAGCAGCATTTACCTTTCTCTCATAGTGTTATACTGTGATTAGTTTGGTTAGCAGCTTTACATAATATTATAATGTGGTTAGTTTGCGTTCTTTTGTCTAATGATAGCACAAATTTAAACTATTTCCTCAATCCTTCATGTTATGCAAGAAGGAACAAGCATGACATTGTCAAGACTCAAAGAGTTCCTGAGCATGCAAATCCTACTCGTAATGGTCAAAGAACAGACAGTCTTCCTCTGGACCAAAGGATTGTAAAGAAACTTGAGAGGAAAGATCAGCAGGTGAGCACCGAGAGAGTGGATGTCCAGAGAAGAAACTGGCGTAATGAGAACTGGAGGAACAACAGGGACACTGGGAGGCAGCAGCAGCGGCAGAAGAAGGAGAGGCAGCCTTCACCAGAGACGTGGCGCAAACCTGTTGAACAACCAAAATCAGCCTCCCCTGATACAGGTCTGCGCTATGGGAAAATAGCTTCAGCTCTGGAGCTTGCCCAAGCATTCTCAAGATCTTTCTCAGATCGAAAATTAGCTGATCGATGTTCTGGTGAAAGGAGCCTCCCTAGCAACATGAGGATGCCTTTTTCCCGACTGATGGCCCCAACCTCAAGGCCTCAGATAAATGGTTACTAATTTGTGTGAGTGGTATTTTCGAAGATTTGCCACTTGATAGTAAGAGGATAGTTTCATTGTAGGAGTGCATGTTTTTGATATTTCAACATTCCAGAGGAATATGGGTGACTATTCAAAATTGAAATTTTACTTCAGCACCCTGTTCGTTGTTTTCTTCACAACTGTATTCCTCATTTTTTTTTTTGTCTGATAGGAAAAAGTGATAAATTTAATTGGAGCTTGACAGGATTGAATTGCATTGCATTTGATAGGATGTTACTACATAAGACAACGTCGTCCAATAACGAAAGGTGGGTCTCATGACTTGAGGTTTGACAAAAACCTAGACTTGTGACGGGCAAAAACTAGTACAATTGAAGTTTGTTTTGTCAAGTTCTATCCAGCTATATAATGAAGGTTCGTGAAGATTAGGATAAAGTGGGCTTTGTATGAAGGTTTGCCCTCACAGTTTGACCTTGACCCAGTTTAGTTTTCACTACTCAGCAATGGATCTTGTTCTGGATTTAGGATGATGCCTAATACGTACACAACAGGATAAAACGGGTGCCCTGCCCTTTCAGTTATAGTTTCAAATTACGGACATTGCATAAGGTAATAGTTATTATTTAACGACATTAAATTTATATATTATCTCTATTCGTTGTTATATTGGTCTCATCAGCGTTTCAAACAAATAATGATATTAATATTATATAATATCGTTATTTATTGTTATTTGTCAAATAATATAATTATATTTATTTATTTTACTTCATTTGAATATGTTATTTACTATTTTATATGCTAATCACGGGAAATCTTACCTTTTAAATTTTTAATGTATTTTATTACTTTTTGTATGGTATTAAAAGTGTTATCAATTTTTTAAAATAAATTTAATTATTATATGATATTAAATTATTAGAGATATTATTATTATTATTAATTAATTAAATTATTTAAAATATATAAATTAATTAACATCTATTAATACATTTATTATATTGATTGTCGTAATTATTATTTTACACCTATTATAAAATACGATCCACCATCACAGCTGCAACTGTTTTTACCTCACGTATGTGGTCTGAAACTATGCTTTAGTTGACATTTATTTATTGATTTTGGTCAGCTTCTTCTTCCATTCTTTTTGGTGGGATCCAATATCCACTGAGAAATGCACTTCTTGGAGTCAAGCCGGCCACTACAAGAATAGGCGGCATTAGTGACGGAAAAGGCAAAGGCGATTAGGTCAAGTAAGATTTATCGATCACATGGGAAAACAAATAAAAATAGCATCATGGACCATGAGGAGAGTCAGACTCAGACAAAATAATTTTGGGTTTCGAGCTTCTTCAAGTTCTTGGTCATCCCCACCAATCCACAATGCCACTAGCAGAAAACTTTACTACTGTCAAGTACCAATCACTGGTCCTATATATTGCTTCATGAAGCAATGTGAGGAGCATTTTTTGAGTATGGATTTAATGTGAAAGTCTACGTACCTCTAGACCAAATAAATTCATATGAAAATTGATTTTGACAGCAGTTTGTGAGCCCAAGCCTTAGCTCATTCTTGGGTATGGTATGCCCCTCCTTAGATAATTGCTCAAGTTTCTTAAATTAAAAATGGGTAAATAAATAAATAAAAATATCATAACCCAATAAAAAAAATTAATCCCTTCGTTTTTAAAAAAAATTATCTATTTTTTATTTATATTTAAAATAAAATACTTTTTTAGTTAAAACTTTAAAATACTATTTGGTTACTAAGAATGGAATGGTAGGAATAAAAATGAAAGTTTTATTTTTATTTTATAGTTATTTGGTTAAAAAAATAAAATAAGAATGAAAATAAAAAGTGAAAATGAGAATTAAAATTAAACATAGTTTCATTTCTATTAAAAAAAATGAAAATAAAAACAAAGAATATGAAAAAAAATTCTTCAAAATAATGATATGTTATTTTTATTTATTATGTATCTATATCCGTCATCACAACCGCCACCATCTTCATTGGCCATTGGCGCTGGTGATAAAAAAAAATTAAAAAAATTATTATTATTATTATTCCGTCACTAATCTTCGTTTGTCATCACTCTGCACCAACAATTACTATCACTTTTATTCACCACCATCATTGGTGGTGGTGATAAAAGTTATTATTATTATTATCCTATCACTATTTTTCCTTCTTTACCATCATTATTTTTATTATACCACCACCACCATTGTCATTGGTAACGGTGATACAAAAACATTTGAAAAATTATTATTATTATTATTATTATTCTATCACGATTTTTCTTTCGCCATCACCCTTCATCAACCCCACCATTAGCAGTGGTGATGAAAGAAAAATAACAATAGTATTATTAGTATTTCTTTATCATTCGTTCTCCACCATCATTATTATTTTTATTATATCACCACTATTATTATTTTTTTCAACTTACATCTTCTATGGTGGTGGTATCAATTTTTTTAAAATATATTATTATTGTTACTATACCGTTGTTATTATCATCTTCTCGCTTCTCTTCCTCCTACTCCACCATGCACCATCATAAATACCACAATTATCTTTATCTTTTTTACTACCATGATATTGATGAAATTATTTTTTTAATTATTATTTTCATTTGTATTAAAAATCATATATCAAAAAATTTAAATTTCATTTTGATTTATTATTATTATTTTAAACACAATATGAGAATATAAATATATTTTTTTATTTTCTAATTTTTATTTCAATTCTTGCATTTTAATTTTGAATTTTATATTTCTCATAATCAAACGACACCTAAAAAGTGTTTGCCAAAAATATCCCTAATTAAAATCCTTAATGTAAAACATTTTCTAAATACAACTCTCAAAAAATAATATTCTCGAAAAACATGGGAAAAAATATTAATATAACATAATAATTAATAATTTTTTTAATACGTGTGAAAGTCAATCATGCCATGCATCTTATCAAAATCTCGTAACAAACTAAGAGCTATAAAATACTAGACAAGTTTTTAGCTAATCGGTTATAAAGTATTATGAACTAGGGGTAAAAAAAAGTTTTTATTTTTTTATTTAGGTTCTCAATCCTTTTTTTTTTTTATCTTTAATTAAATTATTTCATTTTATTGATTAATTTCAAGTGACATGAAAGACACTTGAAATTATTAAAATAATAACACATATTTTGAAAGTCTTAAATACAAATCATATGTAATTGTTTTACAACTTCATGTGTTTCTTCTATGCGTTTAATATATATATATAATTAATAGCACACAAATAAAAAAGGCCGAGGACTAAAAAAAAATCTTCTTCTCACTGCTCAGCACTAGTTTTTTTATGCCGTTTGTTGAAAGTGAAATTGACACGACATGAATCCCATAAAAAAGAGCATGACAATAATCACTATTGAAATGAATGCTTGTGACCATGGCGTATGCAAAGTTGTGAGAGCTTTTATAACAACTAGATAGTTCCCCTTTTCTTGAAATTGTCTGCTGTCTCTTCTAAGTTTTGATTGATTTTCTTCTTTTTTTCTTCTTATTCCTTTTATTATCTCATTACTTTATAAAAACGTTGTCTCTGTGCACATTGACCAAGCAACAGCAAATTCAAAGGCACCACTTTTTTACTTTTCCTCTTTGCCTTCTCTGAGAATGAACTCTTCATAATCATAACCATATCTCTCAATTATCCTTTTTGGGTTAAGCTGTAAAGTTATTCTTTTTCAGGCAAAAGGCCTTTTCAGTTGCATGACTGTCTGATTTGAGGGAGTTCCTATTATTGTTTTTTGGCCAACAATGGAAGTTGGCTACAGTCTTGAAGTTGATGTCAATGGAGAAGAAATTTTCATAGTGGACAAGGTAAGAATGCTCTGCTTTGCTTTGCCTTGCCTACCCTTCATGTCTATAAAGGTCTCTCTCTCTCCATATTCATGGTGGTTTCAGCACTGAATAGTGTTAAAGTTCAATGCTTGTTCCTTTGCATTCATTACTATCAATTCTAAAGGCGATTTTGTTAAAAAAATAGATGGGGATGCAACAACTTTTTCACTTATTCTTCTGTTCAATAAACATCTCTGCTGCCTGCCTGCCTCTCATCTATCTAATCTGAAACCGTTGTACAATGGTGTGGGGCTTTTTCCCGATATTTCAAGTCTCCATTAATTATTATTTTCACCCATGATTTTGTTCCTTTCCACAAATTGTAATAGGGCCTTCACCAGTTATTGTTGACAGCAACTTCTAACCATAATTTCCATTAAATGTAAGATTCCACAGTGTCCCTTTAAAGGATTTCGTAGTTCTGTTCCATGCATTAATGCTTTTCTCTTTTCGGTAGCTACTTGGGACTAGAAGGATCCAATGAACAAGGTGTTATGTTGTCAAAGTTTTCTTGTTTTTTTGCCTACTTTGGCCAAAGAAAGTTTCAATATCTTGTCGTTGCTTTGTTTTAACTTTCCTTTTGCAATTGAGTTTGTTGCTGGAATTCTGTAAAATGTTCTGTTTTAACCATGTGGTTATGTTGTGTAAATTTTTGCAGGAACTTCTTTCATCTTTCTCAGGTAGACTCAGCAAATTATTTGGTAATTTGACTGGTAGTTCAAGAAAACTGAAAGTAATATTTGACAGCTTTCCAGGAGGTGCACATGGTTTTGAGCTCATGGCAAGGTTTTGCTACAACAATGGCACCATTGAGATAACTCCTTCTAACGTTGTCCTGGTAAACCATGCTGCTCATTACATGGAGATGGGCAATAATAGCCTAGTAAAGCTTAACTTGGTTGATCAGACTGAGAAATTTCTTGAAGGGATCAAGTACTGGACTTGGTCTGAGCTACTGCAAGCCCTAAAACAGTGCCAAGATTTACTTCCTACTACAAATTCTTCACTTTTGCTTGAGAAAGTCTTGGATTGCCTTGTAGGAAAGCTTAATTTGCCTACTACGGCAAGCCCATTTACTTGTTCTTCAAACAATTCCAGTTTTCAATTCTCCTGTGATACCACCAGCACCTGTAGTATGAGAAACAACTGGTCTCAAACAACTTGGTGGTTTGAAGATCTTTTGGTTTTGAATGCCAATTCATTTGACAAGGTGATGAGGATGATGATGTCCCAGAAACTAGACCATGCTACCATTTTTAGGTTCGTAGTCTTTCGCCTAAAATCTAGATATCTCAATGTCACACCAGCTGAGAAGTGCAAAATCACAGAGGTTGCGATCAATCTGCTTTCATTGCTTGATAGGAGCTCTCTTTCTTGCAAAGGCTTATTTGATGTTCTACTGGTAGTCTCAAGGTTGAAAAGTATAAGCAAGTTTTATAAACTAAAGCTGGAGCATCTGATAGGTTCAATGCTAGATCAAACAACTTTGGATCATCTACTTGTTCCATCTCCACACAGGAACTATCACGTATATGATGTGAATTTGATTTTGAGGCTTGTAAAAGCGTTTCTACTTGAACGTTCAACAATATCTCGAAATCAATTGAGGAAGGTTGCTAGCTTGGTGGACTCATACCTTCTAGAAGTGGCTCCAGATTTCCTTCTGAAACCTTCCAAGTTTGCAGCATTAGTTATGGTTCTGCCAGATTCTGCTAGAGAATCCAGTGACAGACTCTACCACTCCATTGACATGTATCTTCAGGTATGCTAGTCAACTTATGGCATTTAAAAAGCAATTTAAGAAAGCAATAAAGCATTGCGATATCTAAATTTTGTCTGAGCTAATCCATGTATGTTCTTTTCAAATTGGGAATGTTTGGATTGACTGTGGCTTAACACAGGTCCATGATCAATTATTTGAAGAGGAAAAGATGAGACTATGTTCTGTAGTCAACCGTTATAAGCTCTCGGCCAAAGCTTTGGAACATCTTGCTCAAAACTCAGACTTTCCATCAAGAACAGCACTCGAAAGTTTCCTTGCTCAGAAATCCAAGCTCAATAGCTCAATCCCTAATCATTTATCTTATCTCAAAGTCGTACGTCGATCGACGTTTCATACCGATGCCAAGGAAGAGCAAGAGGACATTGAACAAATCCTTACTTTTGCAAGGCGGCATGGACATTCAAATGAGATTGACAATCTTGAAACAGAATTGCAGGGAATGCAGAAAAGGGTGACAGAATTGAAGAAAGTCTGTACAATGATGCATTCGGAGATGACAACTGTGACGAAACCAAGATTGCATGGCCCTGGAAAGGCTAGATCATTGCCAAAACTCTGTTCGTGATAAGAATTAGGCCTCAAAATTCTTATGATTTTCAGTTTATGCCTTGGATAATTATGTGTATAGTTTGAAAATTTGATTGATGTAAATATGGCATTTCTTTCTTTCTTTCTTCTCTCTTGCAAAGTTGGGTGCAGAGCACATATTTAGGGCTGCACAATCCTCATATACGACTTTGGCATGGCATCACCACCATAAAGAAAATGTTGCAGGGAGTTTGATCTTTTGGCATCATCAAAATGAAGCGAAGAAAATGCTCAATTCTAATCGCACCTTCTTCTATGAGTTTGATTTATTTTCTAAAGCACTTCTTTGAAAATAAGAAACATGAAATCCTCAACCCATGGCGTCCAACTTTAAACAGATACCATTACTATTTCATAATAGTCCCAGACAAACATGAACCATAATGCTAGAAATTAACTTGAAATCTAATCCATAATGTTACTTCCAAATTAATTTCGCAAAAAACAACTAATTAAACACCAATTTGAGATTTGCATCTCCTTTTGATCATATAATGTTACTTCAATCATTACCATTTATGCTACAAAGTTTGTTGCAGTGGCAACAAACTCTGCAACAAACTTCAATATTAAGTTCCTCACATAAGAAGTAAAATAAGACAGTATATAGTCTTAAATCCTGAACGTAGTTGTAAAAATAGTCACAACCGTAATTACGAATCATCTCTTATCGCAATAATAAAATAACGATTGCAACAATTAATATTGTGAATGCATTAACATGCTAATAGTTGTTAATAAATTCATTTTAATTCATATATTTTAATAGTTTTACTAATTAAGCATGATAATATTTCTAATAAGTTTAATATCATATAACAATATTTAAATTTATTAAAAAAATTAATAATACTTCTAATAATTTAATATCACATAAACAATAATAACATACAAAAAAAAAAAATTAAATAACGATCGTTATTCATCAAATAACAATGATATATAATAGTAACAATATATAGCGTCGTAAATTTAAATAAAATGTTATTATATTTTTTATAATGATGTGTAATGATAACTAATATATTCAAAACGGTTATATAAAATCCATTAGATTTTATTGCATAAATGAAGTTATTTAAAACTATGAGGTGATGTGGAACTACCTATGGTTTAGTTTCAAAACATGGAGTATTAATTAAGTGTAGCAAAACATTGTACATTAAAGATGATGTGGGCATTTTGTAACTTATTGAACAAACCAAGATGATGTGGGCATCTATGTTCTTCCCTAAGCCAAGAATCATAAATGAACATTAAGAAAATCAATGGATGTTTCTAAAGAATATTGAGAGTGGACTGCAGCATCAGCGACCTATGCGGCTTACAGCATGCGAGTTTCGGGGCTCACTACACTTAACAATGCTTTGAGAACCTCGGAGAGCTAAGACATATTAATTGAGTTCCAAAAACCAAAGCATGTTTTCCCATACTTTTTTGTTCTTACACAACACAAATGTACAAACAAAAATGTCCCATGCTTTTAAAATTACAATAGCCCCTTCATTGTCTCATTTTGTTGTTGGTTTGAATTTCAGATTTTTTTTTTTTTTTTTTTTTTGAATGCATCAGTTGGAATATGGATGATCAATATATATGAAACTCATCAAAAAAAACTTAAATATGAATAACTTGTTTAAGATTTTGATGAAAAAGGAATGCCTCAGAGTAACTCAATAATATTTTAACCATTAAAACAAAACAACAACAATAATAATGAAGAGTAAAGTATAAATTAGTCTCTTTAATTTGAAAAAAACGAATTAATTAGTTCTTCTTATTTAAAAAAATAATTATTTAGTCTTTATGTTTTAAAAAATTTCATAACTTAATCATTTTTTTCAATTTATTTTAATTCTTTTTTTTTTTGAGAAATAGAAAAAAAAAGAAGAATTGATAAGAAAAGATAATATTGTTAAAAATAAGTTAATATTAAATTAGGTATAATGAATACCGATCAGATTATTAAATAAATAAATAGTTTTAAAATAAGAAAATTAATTAATACATTTGTCAAAAATAAAAGAACTAATTTATAATTTACTCTAATAATGAACTACTGATTAACAATTACAAAAAAAAAAAAAAAAAAAAGGAGCAAGTGGAGAAGTTAGTTAATTCAGGAAAAACAATGAGGTACTCAAGAAAGTTGTTGTACGTCCTTCTTCCTTCGGAAAATGTGAGAATTAATTGCACATTAAATGCTAGTTTGAAGTATAGTTTAAGAGAGTGGCTTGCTCCTCTTCCAAGTCCTACTACCATTAGAGCTACTTGGACCGACATTCTTGATATCACCATTGCATCTATGTAGCATAAAACATGGGTTTATCTAAAAAACACATTTTTGAAGATTGAACTCTTCACTTTTCAGCTTTCCAATTTGTTGGAACCAGGGAGCATTTATTATGAGGGAAGAAGAAGCTCTTTGTAGAGGTTTTCTCTGCATGATGTTGTATCTCATTTTGTTGCTCTTGTGCCTAGTCATGCGCTTAATCACTCGTTATCAACTGACGTGGCAAGAGAGAAAAAAATACATTAAAAATTGAATTTTGATCAAAAAAATTTATTCAGTCTAATATAATTAATAAAAACTTAATTTATGTATTTTTTGTCCAATATTAAAAGAATGTGTTAATATAATTAAAAAAATATAAAATTTGTTTTTTTTTTCCAATAAGCCTTAAAAAAATTATGTAATAGAAATCTTTTGAAAGGGATAGATTGCTTAATAGTTCAGCTAATCAAGTTGACTTAAAAAAAAAAAAAAAAAAGAGAAACGGTAGGAAGTTTTGTCTTCAACCTTATCTCACCTTGTTTTTCTTTTGACTTCGTCTTTAGCATTGCCTTTTCATAGTAGATTATTATTTAGCTCATCTCTGTTTTATGATTGTATAATTTAATCCTCCTAGTTATGAAAATCATATGCAGCCCTTTCAACAGAGTTGACTTATACCTTTTTAGTATGTCCAAACTGCTTTCCTTGTCGTTTTGTTTGTACTAAGTGGAGATTGAATATTTTGATTAAAAAGCTAATTTATGAAAAAGAAAATTGTTAAATGGTAAAAAAAAAAAAACTAAGTTATAAAGCAGATATAAAAATATATGGATTCATGATGGATTTGTGTACATGTTCAAATGGGTATTTATAAATTTAATAGAAAAGTAAACTAAGATAATTAAAACTATAAATTCCGCTAAAATAATATTCCCAAATAAATAAAATAGCATTCCTTATGCGGCTCCTCCATTTTGTGTATCCATTTTAGGGATATCTCATGGTAAATTACCTGATTAATTACATCTCTATTTTCAAGATATGTGAAATTTTAAGTTATTTTTTAAATAACACAATAAATAATATTTTAATAAATAGTTAAAAATCAATGTAGTAGAAAGAAAGGAGTGCATGTTTGGCTTCGGACCCAGCCGAATTCCCTGCCAAAATCACAATAGCATCACAGATTGCGCAATTTGGATTAACTTTATTAATTTGATCACTCTAATTGCTTGAAGTATCACTTTTAGTCGGAGCCAACAAAAACTTGGCGATTCAGTGCAATAACTAATGAATGATTGAAGGGTGTAAAGGAAAGCAAGATTCAAAAAAGAGAGAGGGAGAGAGATGGCCATCTATTAGGGTTAAGTTTCCATGAAAAGCCCATGATCATCAGGGTAAACTATCAAGTTACTAAGGCTGACCCTAAAGAGCCCAATTTGGAAATTCAAACCCATAAAGACTTAAATTAGGACCTATTTGGGCTATAATACACAATGCTACCAATCCAATGTTTCCAACCCTCTGACCATTTGAACTCACAGAATTGATCAAATCTTTCAAGGGTTGAAGCATTTCCATTAAAATTTGAAGATGATACTGATCAAAGAGCCTGAACTAGGCATAAAATCTGCATATTGATTATCTTCAACAAGAGAATGATTGATCTGGTCTTGATTATCAGAAGAAAAGCCTAATCCCATTCAAATTTCTCCAAAATTCATCAACCATATTAGAAGCAAAACCTATATAAGAACATTATAAAATTTTTCAATATTAACAATTTGAACGGTGAATCCACTTTTTGGTTTTTCTAATGCATTTTCAAATATTTTTTTTAAAACATATTATTATATGTAGATTCAACTATAATTATGAGTTCACATCACTATAATATCATCATAAAAAATATCTAAATCAAATTATATATTAACATAGTTGTCGGTAAGTGAATATATCAATTATCATATCAGTATGTTTATAAATCATAAATACAATGATCTGTTAATTATAAAATCATAAATTTATAAATACAAATTTGTTAATATCACTATAATATATTTACAAATATGAGAGGATAAAGTAGAAAAGCCTTAAAAGAAAAAGAAATAAAATAAAACTCTCCCATTAATTTTGTTACCTATTGAACTATCAAGGATTTCTTTTTGGATAGTTTGAAATCTTAAGAAAACTACAAGATAATATTATCTATTGAACATTTTAATTATAAGATATATATTTGACCCATTTATCAAAAGAAAAAAAAAGTTTACCCAATAATTAATCGCCAATAAAATGCAAAATCGGCGATGTCGTTAATTTATTGTACACGACATGTCGTTCATATTAACTATTGCTTTAACCGACCTCAAAAGTCTTTTCCTCGTCATCTTCATCAACTCATCAACGTCTAAAACGTAGAAAAGTCACAGGCAGATAGACACGCACCCAAAACTTCCATCACCTCCTTTACTTCTTCATTGAAACAACACACAAACAACACCCAGATAGCCCTTTTGATCTCTTTTTCCTTTTGACGTTTTCTTAACCATTAACAAGGAAAAAGAGGGGAGAGAGAGAGAGAGGGATTGATCTGTATTTGTATTTATACCTGAAGAGAGAGATGTTGGAGAAGATTGGATTACCAGCAAAGCCATCATTGAGAGGGAACAATTGGGTAGTTGATTCTTCACATTGTCAAGGATGTTCTTCTCAGTTCACCTTCATCAATCGCAAGGTGGTTTATTTATTTATTTATTTATATATATCTCTTAGGTTTTTGTTTATTCAAGCAAAAAATGAATCGTTATACTGTTTTTGGATCTTTTCTTCAAACCTATGTCTCAAAATCCTTTCTTTTTAGTTCTATCACTGTATTTTCACTTGATCATAATTTGTTCGTTCTTGTTTTTTATGTTTTGATGATCACTTGTAGCTTATTTGGATCATAATTTGAATTTATTCAGTAATTATTGGACTTTGCTTGTTATAAATATCAGCTTGAATCAGTTTTAGCACTTGATTGAATTTGTATGTTAATGATCTATATTATGTTTATTATTGGTTCTTTTAGTGCCTATGCAAATTTTGTTTGCACGATTTTATAATGCCTGTTGATTTCAATTATGGGATTTGTCTTGCTTAGACTTTACGAGTTGTTGATCTGTAATTGGATTTTCAGCATCACTGTCGAAGATGTGGGGGCTTGTTTTGCGGAAATTGTACTCAGCAAAGAATGGTTCTACGTGGTCAAGGTGATTCACCTGTGCGTATTTGTGATCCTTGTAAGAAGTTAGAGGAAGCCGCACGTTTTGAGATGCGGTATGGACACAAGAATAGAGCTGCAAAAGGTATTTTCTTAGTTTTTGATTATGATTATTAATGTTTTTACATTGCATGCACGATCATTTACTGTTTCACTCGTTGCCTCGTTGCAAAATTCTAAAATTGTCATTCCAGTTCTCCCTTCATTCAATATATCTAAAGAGTGTTGTTAGGCTACTCAAGTTTGTACAAAGGTTACTTTTCTTCCCCCTGCCTTGTCTTTATAATGTCTGGGAAATCTGTTATTTTGCGTTGAAGTTTTCTCAGTCCTGCTCCTTCCTTTCCTTGTCTCATATTCTCTTTGGAAATTTTGTTATTTTGTTTTGAAGTTCATTTCTGTAGCTCATGAAATTATTGGATCTCAGAGCAACGAGTAGTTTGTAAAATTGCTTAAGAATATTGTGTTGTGGCATGGACTTTTGTAGATGGAGTGTCTGTCCATCCTGGGCTTTCAATGGTGTTTGGACATGCAGACACACATGCATTTACGCATCGTCTAATGTTCAGGAATATTTGCACATGGAGATGTGATGTATCTTGTGAAATGGTACTCTCTGTCTAAACCTAGATAATTTTTTTTGTAGGAAGTTCAAGAAAGACGGCAAAGAACGAAGATGATATTGTGAACGAGATTCTAGGCAATGATGGAAAGGAATCTTCTTCATCTGGACAACAGTCCAACACGAACCTGGTTTCTAGCGTTCAAAGGGCAAGTAGCAGTGCTTCATATTCAAATACTCAACAAGTTGCTGCTCTGGATGGCAGAGGAGAAATGCATAGAAGTTATCCTGTTGATGAGCTCCATCATGTAAATAGTGAGGTGGGATCAACTACTCCTGAGGAAATACGGCAACGAGCATTGGATGAAAAGAAGAGGTATAAAATTTTGAAAGGTGAGGGGAAGTCTGAGGAGGCTCTGAAAGCCTTTAAGAGAGGAAAGGAGCTTGAGAGGCAGGCTGATGCTTTGGAATTGTCAATTAGAAAAAATCGTAGGAAGTTTTTGTCTTCTGGCAACACAGTTGAGATTCAGAATGAAGATGGCCTCAAAGAGTCTGTCAGAAAAAGTAAACGCCTTGCTCAAGTCAACGAAAAGGACGACCTCACTGCTGAACTCAGAGAACTGGGTTGGTCTGACATGGATCTCAACAACAAAGACAAAAAACCGATGAAAATGAGTTTGGAGGGCGAACTGTCCTCTCTTCTTGGAGAAATCTCTGGTAGAACTAATAAGGACACAGGAAGCAGTGGCATTGACAAAACCCAGGTTGTTGAACTTAAAAGAAAGGCACTAGCTTTGAAGCGTGAAGGAAAACTTGCCGAAGCCAAGGAAGAATTGAAGAAAGCGAAAGTTTTAGAAAAGCAGATTGAAGAACAGGAGCTGTTGGGTGCGGATGAAGAATCTGATGATGAGATATCTGCTTTAATCCGTAGTATGGACAATGATCAAGAAGACAAATTATTAGCTGATTCTGAGCAGGATCACGGTCTTGATTTTCATCACCTTGTGGGCACAGCTGATGATCTAGGTGTTGATAGTAACTTTGAAGTGACAGATGAGGATATGATGGATCCAGAATTAGCTGCTACGCTTAAATCATTAGGCTGGGCTGATGATTCTGATAGTTCAGAAACCACTGCTATCCAGTCTGTCTACACTGACAGGGAAACACTACAAAGTGAAATTCTTTCACTGAAAAGAGAAGCACTTAATCACAAACGAGCAGGTAATGCTGCAGAGGCTATGGCATATCTAAAGAAGGCAAAGTTGCTTGAGAGGAACCTTGAAAGCTTGGGGGGTGAAATGGGCAGCTTAGTTGCGCAAGATCCCACAACAATGAAGAAAGATTCACCTTCTCAAAATACTACTGCAAAGAACAATGTGAGTTCTAAACCTGCACCAAAGAGTAGATTGATGATTCAGAAAGAGCTCTTGGCTTTGAAAAAGAAGGCTCTTGCTTTGAGAAGGGAAGGTAGATTGGATGAGGCAGAGGAAGAGTTGAAGAAAGGAAAGGTTCTTGAACTGCAGCTTGAAGAGATGGACACTGCTTCAAGCGTCAAAGAGAATCAGGTGGCTGTTGGGGGTAAGAACCCAGATTTGGAAAATGAACGTCCTGGTATTTCTGGAAACCCAACAATTAGAGAAGGGGAGGAGGATGTAACAGATCAAGATATGCATGACCCAGCATACCTTTCGCTTCTAAGGAACTTAGGTTGGAAAGATGATGATAGGGAGCATGCAAACTCTGCATTTAACCCTCCCGAGGAAAGTGATAACCTTTCTACTCAAACAGCCAATCCCTTAGTCACTCTGTCTGCATCCAATATCTCATTGAGGACACCAAGAAGAAGTAAAGCTGAAATACAGAGAGAGCTCTTAGGTCTGAAAAGAAAGGCTCTTACTTTAAGACGTGAAGGTAAGACTGATGAGGCAGAGGAAGTGCTAACAGCAGCAAAAACACTGGAGACCCAGATTGCAGAGATGGAAACACCAAAGAAAGAAATTCAGATTGAGTCTAACAGGCCCAAGGATGAAATTACCGGACCTATTAGTGGTGCAGCAGAGGAAGGAGATATAGATGATATGACAGATAAAGATATGCATGATCCATCACTTCTCTCAATGCTAACGAATTTAGGGTGGAAGGACGATGTAGATGAAGATGAAGCTGTAGCCGTGCAACCAAAGCCATCCAAACAAGTTTCAGATAGTTTGGTGCATTCTACTGATCCATCTACAAGTCAACTCTCTTCCAGCATTTCAGCTGCCAGACCAAGAAGCAAAGGTGAAATCCAGAGAGAGCTCTTGGGTTTGAAAAGAAAGGCCCTTGCCCTTAGGCGTAAAGGAGAAACTGAAGAAGCTGAGGAATTGTTGAAAATGGCCAAGGTATTAGAGTCCCAAATGGAAGAACTGGAAGGCCCAAAGAAGGAGTTTTTCCCTGATGCATCCGAAGATAAAAAATCTCGGAGTTCAGAATCATTGAATAACTATGAAAAGCAGAATAATGTGGACAACACTGTGGAAGCGATTGAAAAATTGGCAGCTGCAGGTCCTAATGAAAAAGTTATGGAGTCATTCACTGGTTTAGTAAGAAAGGGAAGCAACACAACTGCTTCTCCCTCATGGAGTCCTGATATTGTTAATGCAGTGCCATTTGAGCTCAGTGAAGACAGCCGTCCATCTGTAGGAGACTTTGATATCTTGGGTGAAATGGGATCCTTAAGCAACTTGGGAATAAATCAGGGCACCGAGTTCTTTCCTGCACCTCATCAGTCTACGAATGTAATGGATTTGCTGACCGGTGATGACTGGAGTAGCCCTCCAATACCAGCCAAAAAACTTGAAGATAAAGTCGATTTTGGTTCTGATATATCTGGTCTGCCTGAGCCTCATGTTCATGTTGGTTCCTTGAGAAGTGGCCCTGAAAATCTCAGAAGCAAGGATGGAGAAGTCAATTCTATTTCTGATGTTTCCCATTTACCTGATCCTCATGTTCAAATGGGTTCCTTGATAACTGCATCTAAAAATCTTGGAAGCACAGAAAATGTTAGAACCAAAAAGAGAGAAGAAACAGTTAATTCAGGCAAGAAGCCACATGTAGATGAAATAGATTCTGCTCAGGGATTGGCTTCTCAGAACAACAAAATTTCCCTTCGACAAGAAGTTTTGACTCGTAAGAGGAAGGCAGTTGCTTTAAAGAGAGAAGGGAAATTGGCAGAGGCTCGAGAGGAACTTCGGCAGGCAAAGCTGTTGGAGAAGAGTCTTGAGGTAGAGACTCTTGAGCCTGTTAGTGGTATTCATGATGGGTCAACATCTGTGTCAAATGCTCCCCCTGTTAGTGGTATTCATGATGGGTCGACATCTGCATCAAATGCTCCCCCTGTTCATCAAAAGGATCCCAGTGCCCCACATTTGGCTCCAAAACCATTGTCCGGGCGTGATCGATTTAAGTTGCAACAGGAGTCATTGAGCCACAAACGCCAGGCCCTAAAACTGCGGAGAGAAGGCCGGGTGGAAGAAGCAGAAGCTGAGTTCGAATTGGCCAAGGCTCTCGAAGCTCAGTTGGATGAGATGTCTTCTAATGACTCTGCAAAGTCCTCTGTCAACGTAGCAGAACCTGTAGATGATGTTGTGGTTGAAGATCTTCTCGATCCTCAACTTCTATCTGCCTTGAAAGCAATCGGAATTGAAGATATCAGCATCATATCACAAAGTTCAGAGAGACCAGGGCCTATGAAAGTCAGTCCTACCAAGATCGAGAACAGTAGCCAAGAGAGAATACAGTTGGAAGAGCGGATCAAGTCAGAGAAGGTAAAGGCAGTAAATTTGAAACGTGCGGGGAAGCAAGCTGAAGCTTTGGATGCTCTCCGACGGGCCAAGTTGTTTGAAAAGAAACTAAATTCCTTGGCATGAATTTGATAGATGAGGATGCTTAAGAGTCTTCAAAGTATGTTTTCAGGTAATATTGTTTGAGGTCAGTGGAACATATTTTGATTAGAGATGAATAAAATTCTTTTTCCCACATTACATCCATACGAGTTATAGAAACTAGAGGAACAGTATACCTCATGAATTTGCGTACTTCATGGTAAGAGTGAGAGAGAGTTCTTGTTCCCAAGTGGTTTCTTCTCTATATTCTCTGATTTATTTATTTTCAAAATGGAAAACAATGTTGGAGTTGTTTGAGCTTCATCTCTATTTGTTTCTATAATGGCATGCTATCTGCTCAAGCGTTAAACAATATTGCAGATTTTATCATTTTATCACTAGCAACGAATGATTTTTCAATGACGTGTGTTCTGGAAATGTTGAAAAATGGTTGTCAGACAATGAATTTTGTGAAAAATGAGACTTTGTGATGTCCTGGAGGTTCTATGAGCACATTTAGAAATTGTCCCTTCATTTTTTTTCCTGTTATCTGAAAATTATAAAGGAGTAATTTCGGATTCAATACACGAACTTAAATGCATGAACTTTAGTACTGGTTGCTTTCTGGTTTTACCAGAGGCTTAGTCTTTTCGTTTCTTCGCCATCTTTGTTCCCTGGCTTACTCTTTTTCCTTTTCTCCATTCTTCATATGCATGTCTTTCTATGGAATTTAAGCTACTTTTAGAAGAACCAGAGCTTTGGTCTGCCACAATTGATCACATCTTTGAACATATACGAATCCTTTACACCTCATTTTTTTAGTGCACCATGTCACATTAATTCTCATTTGGTTCATGAACTTACGTTCATTGGGTACTTTAGTTTATTTAACATCTAGTTCTTGTGTTAATTTTTTCCAGATTCCATCAATATTTTGCATATAAAAGTAATAAAATGATTTAAATGCGCAATAGAGTTATCTATATTAAAGGATGCTTAATTTGAGCTAATAAGTCAAAAAATATTGATTAAAAACTCTCATCATTCTGTACTTGATAGTTCTAATTCTTATTTTAATTTGCGTTGAACATTAATTTTCCTCATTTGAAATCTAATTATGGCATTAATATAGGAAAATAAATCTCATTATGACGAATTATTTTATGTCATTATGATATTTGGAAAAAAAAAAAAAAAGAAGGAATCACATTTTTTTTAGATATGTTGAAGAATTACGATCAATTGTGAGTGAGACAATCAGTTCAGAATTAAAATAAGCTAAAGGATGATAAATTATATGTTATTAAATTCTTTTTATATAGATCTTTTGTCTTCTAAATGTCAATCTATCTGTTGTATTGATATTTTCAATATTGTAAAAACATAGGTGTTATATCAACCATGTTTGAATATTATTGTTCTAATTTTTTTGAAAACTATGTGCTTTAAATGGATTAATTATTAATTATCAACTACTTAGATTTCTTTTTAAACTTTTATTAAGTTATTATCCTCCCTTGGGACCGCTCTTTGCCCCCATTTAATGGCTTTGATTACCCTTCCTCTAAGTGGCGTGATGAAGTCACTCTTTGATTAGTTATTAAACTCGATTAGAGTTGTTAGGTCCTTGGTTTTGTTTTCAAATATTTTCAATTTTATGGATTATCATTCAAGTTGGGTCACGAGGTGCCTCCGAGTAGTAGTCAAGATCTAACATCTATCGTTGCCTTGGCATAACCACTGTTTATGCTCAAATTTTTTGTTTTGATGCTTACATCATAATTTGCAATTTAGTTTTGAAATTTTCTGTCATATTTTGAAAAGTATCATTGCATAGACCTTTGGTTTTCTATGAATTAAGTCGCGACCTTGAATGATTCTTTTAAATACAATTCAAATCATTTGAAAGAAATATAGAGATGTTCCAATTTCTTCAAGAAAATTATTAGGCTAAACCGACAAACATGTTTGAATCATGTAAAGTTTCTGTAAAAACTGATTTTTGATGGGATTGAAAATGGTTGGTCAAATGATAAGTTTTTTTTGATGAATGAAAAAGGTAGAGTAGAAGGTATTTGAAAAAAAATTGATTCTCAAGGATAATTTTGCTTGAGAATATCTTGATTTTATTTTTTTTCTTACTCTCAAGTTAGTTGATGAAAACTTATGATTTGATGTCATAAAAAATAACATACAGCATATCGATTGGTCATTTTTTTAGTTTTTTTTTCTCAATCATTCTTTTTTTTTTTTCTTTTAAAATTAGCATTAAACATCACAAGCGAACTACCTTTGGTTAGAAAAGACTTGTAAAAACATGTGATGTAGTCTTCGACTTGGGCTTATGAAAAAAATGGATATATAATGGCTAAAAAAGTGTTTAAATGTCTTATAGCATATGATTATTTTATTGTCCATAAATGTCGTTTTAGGCAATGTATTTAGATTTTGTAACTTTAGGTGTTAATTAGGATGTGGTGTCGTCTTGAGAAAAATTTTCCTTTTAAGCTTGTTGTGATGACTTTATTATTTTGACTCGTTGACTTTGCTTCCAAGCCTCAATTTTCATTCTCCATTTATCTAGATATATGACTCCCATCTTGATTTGTAATTTTTTTATTAGGAATGTTTTTATTTTTTGCATTTCTTGTTTTTAGAATTATTGATGAGATTCTTTTAATATAAATTTTTGAGAATTTTATTGATCATTTATAGGGTTCACATTTTTCCCTCGAGTGTGAAGGGTGATCCTAGTTTAGGTTACTGTAAAGAAAATCATATGGGCTTGAATTAGGATGACAAATGGTAAAATTTTTTGTGAGAAATATGAAAAATGACATTTTTTTCATTTCAAAAGCTAATTTGCCTATATTGATAAATGCTAATCCTTTTTTGAAAAACAATGATTAGTTTGAAAATCCTTAGGTAAACCTAAAAGAAGAAATGATGAATGTAATTTGAGATCATGATTTGAAGATATATTGTTCATCATTATATAAGGCGTCAAGCAATTAGTTTTTCAAATTTAGGCTTCATGATATATATATATATATATATATATAGGCAAAACTGTTTTTAAAATTTGGGCTTCATGATATTTTTTAGGCCAAACTTTTCTTCAAGGGTTTAGTTGGGAAACGAGAAATGATTTCTTTTTGGTTTTGGTTTCAACAAAATGAGGGATTGCCTCCTTATTTTCTATTCGGAAAGATTTATTAGGAAAGAAGAATTTATCTTTGGCTTTAATGGATCGAACAATTATCTTTGACATTTATTTGTCACGTTTTGAAATTTGATCAAACCTATTGAATATTTTTGAATGAATTTTTCATTATATTTTCTTGATGAAATAAGATGTAATGTCCAAGTAATACTTTTAAATGAACTTCTCTTAATTTCATATAAGACAGGTATGGAATTGTAGAAAGTGAATAAGAGTTATTTCTTCAATCAAAGGTATTACTAAATCCATGCATATACAAAATGTTTTTTTTTTAGTGGTGACTAATTTAGTTCATTGTGATAATATAATCTTTTTTCTTACCTTGCTAACTATTAACCATGAGCACTAATCTGGTAATGCTTAACGACTGATGTGTGCTACAAGATTTTATTTATGATTAAAAAAAATTATGCATCCTATTTGTTTTCATTTTTTTTAAATATTAACATCATGCATGTAGTTTTTGGCTATAGGTTAGTAATTCACAGTAGTTAGTAGTGCAACCCTTTTTTTATTTTTTTAATTCAACACCTTTTAATGTTAGCCCTCACTGCTCATTTAAAAAGAAAATCCATATTGTACATATGTGTGAAGAAAAAATAATATAAATAATGTAAGTTAATTTGTAGTACAAATATAATTCATATTTGTCAACTTTTAAAAGGATTTGAGTGAAATTTTTATATCATTATAATATTATTATTTTTATGAAGAATAAGTTTTCAGAATATTTTAGAACATGTTATTATTAATGAATTTCTAAATAAAAAAGTGGAGTATGACATACTTCAAATGCAGTTTCTATATACTAATATGAAAGAAGTACTATATCATGAAATATTGTCAATTTTTTTTTTTTTTAATCATGAAACAATAGTTATTATCTGAATGGAATTATATACATCGCCAATACATTAATAGCTCTAAGGTCAGTCATTAGTACTACATAAATGCAACAAACCAACATGGTTTTTTTTTTTTTAATGAAATCCACGATTACGTTAGTGAAAAGAGCCGACAAGAAGCTAGAAAATATGAAAGGATACAATCAAACTAAAGAATCGTTATACCCATAAAGACTAGATTAGCCGATCCGCTATAGAGTTTCATTTTTTTATTTATTTTTTTCCAGAGAAAGAAATGAATTTTAAATATAAAATCAGATTTGAGATAACATTAAAATTACTCTGAAACTTATGAAGTCTATTACTTGAAAATTTATTCATCCATACAATACAATAGTAACAGTTGCGTCTAACGCTAGAATCCAGTTGGCTTGTAGAGTTAAAAGTGAAGCAATACTGATTTCCAAAACTTTCTGAATGGCTAAAACTTTCACTTCATTTGAACATAAATTTCTACAATGATCTTTCAAAACATCACTTGTACTAAAGATTTCTGTTTTGTTCAACAAAATTCCATCCACGTTTCAAAGTACTAATAGATGGATTAACCCAGCTAGTTGTAGTCTGCACTTTGATCAGATCAGACCATATCTTAACATATTTAGAACTTTGAAATAAATCATTTTCTTAATAGACAAAATGCCCGTCTATAAACAGAACCTAATAAAAAATTCGATATATGAAAAATAAGAGATAAATTTTTGTCTCAATTTGACATGGAGTCATTAAGCACTAAATTATTTTGAGCTAACCATGATTAAAGCACACCATAAAGAAGCAAGTATCGGACTTTATTTTGCATGCCACCAATTCTAAAGTAAACCCAGTTCCTGGACATATCATTCACAGAATGTGAAACTATCCCAACACAGCTACACCACCTAATGATTTTAGACCACAATTTCCAAATTTTACTGTAGAGCAACCACAAAATGTGGTTTGTAGGACCATGGCAGCAACGACAAAAGGGACACCTGACCTCACATCAACTTCAAAAATTAGAATAATTACAACCGATTTTAATTTGAGGTTCCTGATTTCCCAATCCCTTTTCTGGATAACTCGTGTAGCACATTTTGTCTTGGTAACTCGTGGAACACAACTGCGAAGAGATTTGGTCTAATGGCAAAAGGTTGTCTTAATTAGAAGAACACTAAAGTTTAATTCTCATTATTTATGAATAATTAATCATAATTATCTTTTAATCATATATATCTAGTTTGAATTAGTTCCACTAAAAAGCCTAACAATTAACTAAAAATTAAGAACGTTCTGACTAATTTAATTAAAAAATAATAAATTTAATTTTACTAATGTAAAAGTTCATTATATATATATATATATATATATATATATATATATATATATAACACTTGTTAACACATTCATCAGTCAACATGGTTGAAAGATGACACTCGTTTAACACATTCATAAGCCAACATCATTGACTTGGTAGACCAACAATTTTCATTGAATTGTTAATTGATAAATTTCTTACTTATATTTTAGGTGTAACTAACAATATTCCCTTATATATGATTCAAATTTAAAAAAGAAAGAAGAGAGATAAAATGGAGGGAGAGTGAAAATAAATTATTGCATACCTATGCGAAAATAATAAAATGATTCTTGATGGGTTTTAATATAATTAACTCTTTTTTTTTCTTTTTCTTTTTAATCTATTTCTCTCCATATCTTAGTATTGCCATTAATTGTCAATCAAAAGTTTTAAGGATTTTTCTCTTTAATATATAGTCATGGATTTTTTATGAAAAAATCAAAATCAAAAAATATTTTAATAAATAAAATTTAACAATTATTTTTTAATTAATCCATAAGGAAAAAAATTATTTATGAAATATTTTTAATATATTAATCAATGAAATATTATTTAAAAAATAAAATTTTGGTTTTTTTTTTTAAAGTTAAGAGTATGAAAGTAATTGATTGTTTTTATTTATGAAAGTTTAAATAAAATAAAAATATAAAATTAATTATTTTGTTTTTTCTGTTAGTAAAAATAAAATAGAATGAGTTATTATTGTTGTTAAATAACTTAAAAAATGATTATTTGTTAGATTTAATACATCAGTAAATTATTTAAAAAATAATTATTATTATGTTAATTCATTTTCTCAATTAAAAAATATTTAATTATTATATTTTGAATAAAATAATACTATTCTTTATGGAAAGTAAATTAAATATTAATTTAAATAAAAAATTAAAGCAATTAGGAAAATAATTTTTTTTAATGCTTATTTACTTATGACATCAAAGTCAAACAATAAAATTATAATGATTTTTTTTCTATAATAACAAGGTGTTTTTAGTTCCCGTTCTTTCTCTCAATATATATATATATATATATATAGTATGTGGTTTTGCTGCTTTATTTTATGATTTTTAAAAGAGAAATTTCAAGTAAAGAAAAAAATTATAGAGTCTAAAATATTAAACAAACAACAAAAATGAGAAATAATATTAGAAGAACATGAAAACATATCCAATTTTAGAATTTCATTGTCCAGTCAACAACATTCCATAACATATGAACCACACATTGCGTACCGCTTAGGAAAACATTGTTATATATATATATCTGAAAATTTATTTTGTTTCTCTTTTTTTTAAAAGACTTGAAAGTAATCGATCGTATTTATTTATATATATATATAAAAAAATCCTAATAGGCATTTTTTTCCCACGGATTCCCCACCCAAAGACTTGGAATATTTCGAGATTCAATAATTCTTTTTTCTTGTTGGACAGCGAATCATTCTCAACATTTTTACTCAGGGAAAAAGAAAAACTTGGAAACGCATCCATTTTCTACATCATTTAGATATCAAAGGAAAAAAAAAATCAAAATTTAGATATTAAAGAATCCTTTCTCTCATTCAATAATCTCTTGTCCTGTCTGTGCGAAAAACTTGGAAACGCAACCATTTTCTACGTCGTTGAACTTTTGACTTCCATTGTACTATCAACATGAGATATCATACGAACACGAACACGAACCACACATTGCTTACTGCTTAAGGGACGGCATTTTTTTGATGATATTAAGCCTCTATATATAACGTATATCACAAACTGAGTTATACATCACCAGACTCACTGAAATCTCAAAATTTTACTACTTATTATTGGTGATATTATCATGGCATTTTCCATTAATGACAGCCACTTCTCAACATCCTTCCATTTCTCGAGCCATAATGTAAAGTTTCGTATGATCACATTTTGCATATTAATTTGTTTTTGGTTCTTATATGTTGCACTGCCTAGCTAGCTGTAGACCTCATCCCTTAATATATCTTTGAATTTTGCAGAATGATCTATGGCTTAGACATGGAAAAATGGTGAAGGAAGTTGGTAACATACTCAACACTGTTGCTGGAAAAGATCCGCTGGAAGGTTTAGCAATGATCGATATACTTCAACGCTTAAGCATTGACTATCACTTCCGAGAGGAAATTGAAGCATTACTAGAAACAGAATACATGAACTTTAAAGCTCCCAATCATCATCACGATGATGTTTATGGAGTTGCACTTTCCTTCCGATTATTGAGACAACATGGTTATAACGTCTCTCAAGGTGAGCAAGCCATATCTATATATATAAAGTCTTTCAGGTGGTTTAGCTAAATATTCGTCCATGGATATAGAGAGGAAAAAGCACTAATAATTTTGTTATTTTCACTAGATTTTTTGGTCAACATACTTCCTTTATTAATGTTTATTACATTCAAACTTACAACACTTTCTTTGTTAATGATGATTACATGGAAAGGTCACAACAATTTCTTTTAAAAATCATGATTTTAACGCAAACTAGTTGACAAATCAAGATTTTTTATTGCTATTAGGTCTACATCTATTTTTAAGTGTCCTACTTGATTGCTTTTCTATTGTTGTATAAAATATATATACAATCACTTTCTCTGGTTCATGTTTTGTATATATTTTTTAAAAAAAATTATAAAATGTTCATAATTAAAAAAATGCAGGGAAGATAACAATTATTGTGAATTTAGTATCATCCCACACTAGTTTCAAAAAATTCTTAGTACACTAAAAAAAACTTCACAATTTAATGTTCCGTTTTTATGCAGAGATTTTTTATTTATTTGTTTTTTGTATTTATTCAGAGACAAGGAGAATAATAACCCCAATAGTTAATGGGTCAAATCATCGCATTAGGTCGTCGGGTGAAAAAGAGCCCCATGTCCAAGGGTGGTCCTTGACATTGAAGTTAGTGAGCCAGGAGACCTCAAAATTAATTAATTAATTAATTATATATATATATATATATATATATATATATATATATATATATAATCATCGCATTAGGTCGTCGGGTGAAAAAGGGCCCCATGTCCAAGGGTGGTCCTGGACACGGAAGTGACTGAGCCAGGAGACCTCAAAATTATATATATATATATCCCAGTGCCTTGGAATTATTACTTAAAAAAAAAAAAAAAATTCCAAAATATTTTATAAGTCTCCTAAAGTCTCATGATACTTGTAACTTGATCCTCAGTCCCTCACAGCAATTTGGTCCACGCTCCACCACAGTTCATGTCCTTGGATGCACAGGCATACAAGTCATACTGACATGCTATATGCAGATTAGTAATGGATTTGATAGAAAGTAAATTTGTTTATAATTTTTTGTTGTGCCTATGTTATAGATGTGTTCAACAGCTTCAAGAACAAGGAGGGAAAATTTGATATGGTTCTAAGGGATGACTTGAAGGGTTTGATGGCATTATATGAAGCTTCACAATTGAGTATGGAAAGTGAAAATATACTTGATGAAGCTGGGGACTTCAGTGCCAAGCTACTTAACCACCATGAATCTGAAATTGTTGCAAATACATTGAAGAGTCCTTATCACAAGAGCTTGGCAAGGTTGACGGTCGAAAACTTCCTAAACAATATTGATAGCCGAAGTGAGTACATAAAAGTGTTTTCAGAGTTGGCGAAAATGGATTATGAAATTGTTCGATTTATACATCAGAAGGAAATTCTTCGGATTACAAAGTAAGAACTATTGCTTGAAATGCAATAACAAAATTAGATATTATCCTCCTCTAATGCAAAATTTATGTTATTTTAGTTGGTGGAAACACCTAGGCTTGGCTAAGGAGTTGAAATTCGCAAGAGACCAACCTCTAAAATGGCACATGTGGTCCATGTCGGTCCTCACATATCCTAACCTCTCTGAGCAAAGGGTTGAGCTAACTAAACCCATCACTCTGGTCTACATTATAGATGACATTTTCGATCTTTATGGGACGCTCGATGATCTCACTCTCTTCACAGAAGCTGTCAATAAGTATGCACCATCGATCACCATCTCTCTTAGTGTCTATGCGTGTGTTTCTGTGTAAAAAATTTCTAATACAACAAGTCATTGCATGAAGATGGGACCTCGCAGCAGCTAATCAGCTACCAGAAAGCATGAAGATATCTCTTAAGGCTCTTTTCGACATCACTGAGGATATTAGCACCCAGGTCTTTAAAAAGCATGGATGGAGGCCTATAGCATCCTTACAAAAATCGGTATATATACATTTATTTATAACTAATTAAATACATGCTTGAATTAACTAGGTATTATCTTGCATACATTTATTATTTGCTTCTCTTTTGTATCCATGAAGCACATTTGTCACTTTCTTGATACCTTTGCAGTGGAAAAAGTTGTGCAATGCATTTTTAGTAGAAGCAAAGTGGTTTGCTCTAGGAAAATTGCCTAAGGCAGAAGAATATTTGAGGAACGGGATCGTTAGTTCAGGGGTGCATGTGGTGCTGGTTCACATGTTCTTTCTCCTGGGTCAAGGCATCAACAAAGAAACCGTTGATTTTGTGGATGGCATTCCAGCCATTATATCATATACAGCAATGATCCTTCGTCTTTGGGATGACTTGGGCACTGCTAAGGTAAAACTATACAAGTGATGATGTTATCCCTGACATAAGAGATTCTAAATGGTCAATCAAAGCCTGATGTAGTGCCTGAATATATTATGAATGATATGCATTAAATATAATGGCCAGATTCAAATGTGTAATGCATGATAATGTATCTTTCTTGAATTGTATTCAGGATGAGAATCAAGATGGTCGAGATGGATCGTACTTGGAGTGCTACATTAGGGAACATCCAAACATTACCCACGAAAGAGCGAGAGAACATGTTAGCCAATTGATTTGTGATGCGTGGAAGCAACTCAACCGGGAATGTCTCTCTCGGCCGAGTTCATTTTCAGCAACTTTCACCGAGGCATGTCTAAATGTTGCAAGAATGGTTCCTTTGATGTATAGTTATGATGACAATCCAAGTCTTCCAAGTTTGAAGGAGCATATGAAGTCACTTGCTGGTCATTTAGAAAGTAAACCTTCCGTTGGGTGAAAAAGAATTTGCTACTTTCATAACCCTAAAGGTTTAGAAGTCAATAAATATTAATTATTCACCATGTTTTCTTGAAATAATTAATGAGTTGAAGAATATGACTTCATCAAGTCAATTTCGGAGTTTCCAGTTTAATGTTTGATATTTATAAAGAAATAGAACAAAGACAACGGGGAATTGCATTGACCTATCCTTTGTGAATTATATAGAATTCTTGTTGAGTGTCTAGAATGTAAAGGAATTAGTTTTGTAGAATATAACACCCCCGATCTAGGGCCTTAAGTAGGTTGAGAGTATTACCAGCAATGTCTCACATTCGAAATTCAATGAAAACAACGTTTCGAAAACATATAATGTTTCGAAATATGCATGTGAAAATATATTACGTAATAATTATCTCAAAATCATTTAAAGTCTACTCATTTCTATTTAATCAAACCCTTTTTATTTTAATCCTTGTCTTTAAGAAAAACTAAATAATTCACTTAATGTTTTAAAAACTAATTTAATATACTTTGACATGTCCATTTAATTAACTTGTACTAATTAAAATCATTTAATATTTTTAGTCATTGATCCTTTATTAATTTGACTTTTAATTTTTATTTAATTAACTTAATTTCTTATCTAATTAGCAATTTACCAACCAAACCAATCTAGTTTCATGGTGATCGCGAAAACAATGAATAGTGGCTAGCCATCTATTGAAACAAAACAAGGAGTTCTAGCCACAATTGCAACTCGAAGTCCTATGACTTTGCTCTTTCATTCATGAGTTAGGATTCAACTTGCCAAAATCTTCAATCCTCCGGTGTGATAACTTGTACTAATTAAAATCATTTAATATTTTTAGTCATTGATCCTTTATTAATTTGACTTTTAATTTTTATTTAATTAACTTAATTTCTTATCTAATTAGCAATTTACCAACCAAACCAATCTAGTTTCATGGTGATCGCAAAAACAATGAATAGTGGCAAGGCCATCTACTAAAACAAAACAAGGAGTTCTAGCCACAATTGCAACCGAAGTCTTATGACTTTGCTCTTTCATTCATGAGTTAGGATTCACCTTGTCAAAATCTTCAATCCTCTTGTGTGATAACATCAGCGCTATCTATCTTATTGTAAATCCTATCTTTCATTCTGAACGCAAGCATTTGAAAATTGACTTTCGCTTTATTTGTGATAAGGTAGTTGTCAAAAAACTCCAACTCGTTATATAAATCAACAAATGATCAAATTACAAACATTTTAACAAAACGAACATTCCATTAGAAATTTTAGGTCTTAAGAAACAAATTGACAGTAGTTCCACCCCATTATCATCTTAAAAGAGATTGATAAGGATGTTGCTGTTTGAAAATCAAATTCAAATACAATCTTTGGCCACTAGGACTCTATCTTCTATTTGGAATAGAGTTAGAGTGAGTTACCAACTCTACTAGCTCTACTATATATGTTCTGATATGTACATAAATATTCATTCAATACAAAGAGTACACAAAGCAATTTACACTAATTCAATTGTCCCTGATTTTTATGTTTCTTCTTATTTAAAATTGTTATTAAAAAAAAAAAAAAGAAGTTGATAGATCATGGCAGAGGCCTAAGGCAGAAGAAGGCCATGGCCACCTTTGGACCCAAGAACCTCACATGCATTATATTTTTTAGCTCAAAAGGCTTTAACAGATACTAAATTTACAATGGGACTTTGACCCGGCTTAATATTTTTATAACTATTTATTCTTAAAAAAGAGATAGATAAAGAAAAAAAGTTAAAAAAAATTGAACCACAGTGGAAATACTTTTTATCTTCTTTTTTTTGTGAATGTACATATAATTCTTTTTTATTTTTGTGTTTATCTTTTTTTATTTTTAAATGGACTCATAAAGTAATATTATAGTTAAATATATAATAATTACTTCTGAACTATTTAAAAAAAATTTATTAAATTCAATATATATGGGCCTGCATTGCCTCTTTCATAAAGCTTGATCGATCAGCGGCCTATTCGTCGAAGAGGATGCTTCATAGGAACATACATGTATTTAAACTTATTGGCCCAAAAGCAATTTGAACAGGAGAAGGACAATGATAAAAATAAAAATAAAAATAAATAATAAAAAAAATTGAAAAAGAAAAAAGAAAGCCGGTGAGACTTTATGCATCGTGCGAGGTGAGGAGCTCAGCTGCCGAAACCTTGATAGCGTCATGTTTCTTGCACATGCATAACGTGTAAAAAACAGGAACATATGATTTAATATCTCTTTAACTTGTTAGGTTGAAAAAATATAAAATTATTTCTGTAATTTCACTTGACATCTAAACTAAACTATTGAATGAATAATAATATAAAATTATTTTTAGAGTTTTAACTTAATAAATTATTAAATTGAGATGGTTTTTTTTTTGACATATTATTAAAATTTCAATAATCAAACAAATATGGTTTTAAATGTCACTATTCTCACTTATGAAAATATTTAATTGGTCAAATTTTATAAGCATAAATACTCATATAGAAATTAAAAATCAACACAATTACTCATAAATAAAAAACCATCAAATACAAGTAGTTCATTAAAATAAAAAATAAAAAATATTAAATAAAATGGATTCAGTTGACAGAGAGTTAACAATCAAGTAAATATTCCAATAACAAGACTAACTTAAATACTCAAATTAAAAATATAAGTAGATAGCATAACTAGGCGTAGACTCCGCCACGTAGTCTCAGACAGCGTGCAACACATGGGATCAGAATCGAGACAACGGCACCAAATTTTATTCGCAAATCAAAATAGCGTTGTACATACCTATAAACAGCCAAAAGGCAACGGCCCCTGTGCTTTTTACGGCTACAACTACAAGGACCTGAGCAATAAACCTCGCCGCTGCCGATCCCACGAGCAAAACATAGATGAATGTCTTTAACATGTAACACGTGCAAGTTAACTGTGTTACTTTTTAGAGCGTGGCTATAATATTAAAATTAAAAAAATATGTATTTTTAGACGTCTTAGTCTAAAATATTTAGGCATTGAGATGTTATGATTAGTTTTAAAGAATAAGTTGAAAATACATACAATTTCATTAATGAGGAATAAAAGTGGGTAATTTTATTTTTTCTTTTTTTCAGTATTAAGAGTGTATTCAGATAAGTTTTTGCACATCTCAAGACTAGTCCCCAAATATACGATCTCGGATATTTTGAAAATAAATTTTTACAAATGCTAGTCATAAAAATCGAAGTCTAGAACTGACTTATAAATCAATATTTGCTTACCAATGAGTTATTATTTTGTGATTACAAAGATGGATAATTTAACTGTTAAGAGAATTTATCAACTTTAAGAATTAATTGAAACAAAAAAATAAAAGCAATAATTTAATACTATATGTAAAATAAAATGTTGTATATATATATATATATATATATATCTGTGTGTGTTAGTGTTATAGAACATTGAAAGTTTAAGACTCAAATGAATTTTTAGAAGAGTTTGATTTAAGGTGAATACTAATTAATGTATGTTTGCGATTAAGAGAAAAATTAATAGCATTATGGTTTAATTATACAGAAATAAATTTCATTTGAAATTGTGAATGTGACATTAATTGGAAGAGTTTTAATGCTTCTTAATAACTTGAATTTTGGCAAACTCTATAAATGTTGGCATGCAAAATGAATTTTCATAGCGCACTCAAACATCAATCATTCTAATAGAAGTCTCTCTCTCTCTCTCTCTCTCCCTCCCTCACAATGGCTTTGTCTTGTAGAGCTTCCTTCACGGGTGGTTCAACCACTCCATTTCCTCAAAAACAAACTTCAGAAAGAGTGAAGCCCACTCTCCTGCCATTTAAACCTAACCTCACTAGTACTCAAAATTGGAGCATTGCCCAAAATCACACATTGCCTTCCGCTCCCCTAAAATACTCCAAAACTGTTGATATTGTAAGTGTATAGATTTTGCACTTTCATGATCTGTGTTTGTCATGCACTACTACAAATTTAACTTTAGATGAATTTTATAAGGATATAGAGGCATTTTTAACGAAATTTTTGTCATTATAATTGTATTTTATAAAAAAAATATTGCAGGATGATTTTGACATTGAGCATGCACAAAACTTGAAGATGGTCAAGCATATATTGAGGAAAGAAGGAGAGGATCCATTTCAAGGTTTGGCCATGATTGACGCCATCCAGCGCCTTGGCATTGATTATCATTTCGAAGAGGAGATTGATTCAATTCTAACAAGGCACTATATGATATCCAGCACCATTCATGGGGATAATAATCTCAATGAGATTGCACTTCGCTTCCGATTGCTGAGACAACAAGGTTACCCCGTATCTGCAGGTTGTTAATTGTTTAAAACATTTATCCCATCATCATTTTCATTTTATCTTTGTTCTATATGTGAGGTTATATTCCTTAGAGTTGCTTATTTATATAGCAATTTACATGAGATAGGAGTGTTTGAGAACTTCAAGAACAAGGAGGGACGATTCAAGCAAAAATTAAGCAGCGACATCGTGGGCCTAATGAGTTTATATGAAGCTTCACAGCTAAGTATAAAGGGAGAAGATGTGCTGGACGAAGCTGGAGATTATAGTTATCGGCTTCTGAGTTCAAGTATGAGAAATCTAGATTATAATCAAGCTAGATTCGTTGGGAATTCACTGGACCATCCACATCACAAAAGCCTGGCAAGTTTCATGGCCAAAAACTTCTTTAACGATTGGCATGAGAAAAATGGGTGGATTAATATGCTACAAGAACTTGCAAAGATCGACTTTATGATGGTCCAATCTCAACATCAACATGAACTTGTTGAGATTGCTAAGTAAGTTTGATTGTTACTTAAACTTATATTCATGCTATCATGGACAAAACTTTCCTCACGTAATTGTGTATTTTGATATGCTAATTTAGATGGTGGAAGGACCTCGGTTTGTCTAAGGAATTGAAGTTTGCAAGAGATCAACCACTTAAATGGTATATGTGGTCAATGTCATGCCTCCCAGATCCAAGACTTTCAGAGCAAAGGATTGAGCTAACTAAACCCATCTCCATGATTTACATAATAGACGATATTTTTGATGTTTATGGCACCCTGGATGAGCTCATTTGCTTCACAGAAGTTATCAACAGGTAGAGTACCAATGTTCATCAAATATACAGCTGGTTTATTAATATGCATGAATTTTGATAGCAGTTGATTTCTTAGTCTTCTCCATCATTTTATCATGCAGATGGGACATTGCTGCCACTGAACAACTTCCAGACTACATGAAGATATGTTTCAAGGCTCTTGACAATATTACCAACGAAATCAGCGACAAAATCTATAAGGAGCATGGGTGGAACCCAGTAGACTCTCTACGAAAAACGGTATGATATCCAACAAAAATGCTTGTGCAAAATTTAATTCTAGGCTATAGCACTAACACATGATATGTGATTATTTGGATGGCTTCCAGTGGGTTAGTTTGTGCAATGCATTTCTAGTGGAAGCAAGATGGTTTGCTTCTGGGAAGTTGCCGAGTGCTGAAGAGTACCTGAAGAATGGGATTGTTAGTTCTGGTGTACATGTGGTGCTCGTTCACATCTTTTTTTTATTGGGTCAAGGTATAAGTAAGGAAAAAGTGGAACTCATTGACCATAATCCAGGCATAATATCATCCACCGCTACAATTCTGCGGTTGTGGGATGACTTGGGAAGTGCCAAGGTAACATCGCAGGAACCTTAATTACCTGGCTTGTTTCGATGCATTCATATATGCCGTCATTTTTTGGACCACGATAGAGTTGTCAGTTTCGTTTTTTGAAAGATTTTTTGCTCGTCTTTTGACGATTGAGGGTGACCAACCTGATGGGACTAATAACTCATCGTTGTGTTTTATTCCATCTTCCATGTTAAGGTCTTTTAATGTTTTATTCCATAATTAACTTAAACTTATAAACAAAACTGTAGGATGAAAATCAGGATGGAAATGATGGATCATATGTGGAATGCTACATGAAGGAACACAAAGGATCAGCGTTCGAAGACGCACAAAATCGTGTTCTCCACATGATTTCTGAGGCATGGAAACAACTCAATGAGGAATGCCTCTCTCCAAATCCATTTTCAGCAACTTTCTCTAAGGCTTCTCTTAATATTGCAAGAATGGTCCCTGTGATGTACAATTATGATGGCAACCATCGGCTTCCAAATCTTGAGGAGCATATGAAATCACTTCTTTATGAAAATGTGTCTCTGTAAAATAAAATAATGGCAAAGGTTCTTCGTGCTAGACGAGGGGCAAGCGATAGGATTATAAGATAACAAGAGTAATACATAGAATAAAAGTCTAATCTCTGGTTGTAATTATCAGATAGACTTCTTGTACGTATGGTGTGACTTCACTAAAGATAAAACATTTTCATGGTATCAGAGCTACCTTAGACTTAAACAGCCAAATTATTACGTCAACTTTTAGCGATTGTAAAAAAAAAAAAAAAAAAAAGCTGTTGTTGCTATATCCTAGACCAAAACATCCTAAATAATTATATATGTATCTACGAAAGGAGAAATATTTTTATTAATGCATAAATATTTGATTAAGGAGTAATTAGTTAAATTAAATATTTGAATTAATATTATGTGTGCATAAAAATATTATTTATGTACACATAAATATTACAAAACAAGGAGAAAATAATTAAAAATTATTTGGTAAGAATGGATAATTAATTTTTGGATAATAAGTTTTGGGTGCTTAATTAGATTATTTTTTGGGAGGTAATTATAAAAGAGAAAAGTTTAGCTAATTAATTTAAATAATTATGAGAGTTAAGAGACCCATATTAATTTGGAAATTACTTTAAAGGAGGGCTGGAAAGTTACAATTAAAAGTGGAAAGCCGAAATAGTAGGGGTATGATTGAATTGAATTATAAAGGTCAAGGACCTAAGTGAAAAATTTTGAAAAAATGGAGGGGCATTTGAATTGGCCATTCAGCTACAATTTGTCCGAAAAAATCAGTATAGAAACTGAATTTTTAGGCTGGATCAATTTGCCAAGAAACTAGGGGGGGTGATGGGGATGATGAAAGAAGGTTCAGGGAAGGATTTAGAGAATTATAAAATGGCTAAGGAATTGGCTTGATTAATCCAAGTGGCATTCAATTGGTTTAATCATAACTCCTTCCCCTATATATATTCGGCCAGTTGGAGAAGAGAACAGAATTATAAATAATCAAGGTTACGAGGAAGCTAAGATAAGAATTAGAGAGACATAGAAGAAATTAAATTAACTCTATCCAAAATCAATACTTAGCCACCCATAAAACCCTATTAGAAGGCTTAAGAAAGCAGACACAAGGAGAAGGAAGAAAAGGAGCCTTGGTCGAAACCAAGAGGAAGGACGAGGAGAGATTTTGCAAGGATAATCAAGTAAGTGTAATCTCACCTACACTAGAAGTGGTTTAATACTTTGGATGATTAATTGTTGTTTTGTTATGAATTGACAAATTATGGATTTATGTTTAAATTATGTGATAGTTTAAGATTTGAGTAATTGATTGTGCATTTGTATGATTAATGATTTAATGAACCATTCAGCCAAGACTAGAAAGAATAGGAGAAAATTGTGTTATAGGAAATTGATGTAGCTAAGGTGTTTGATTAAATATGTAAACCATGTTTTGGTATTAAACTATAGAGGAAATTGATGGAATTGAATGGCTAATTAAGGTTGACAGATTCGACTAACATGGAATTTAGGATGAAATGGTTATGTTTATGTATTAAGGATTGAATGATGTTTAAGTGAAACTAAATCAGGATGATTTAGTACTTAATGTGAAGAAATCAATTTGGTTGTTTGGTATAGGGTCATTTGGCCAAGTCCCAACTATAAAAGAGTGCTGAATTGGTTGTTTAAAATATAAAATTTAAAGACTTTAACCTTAGTTATTTCGAGTTAAATGCATGGAAATAAAGGCTTCTAATTGGGTATTTGATTGAATTGTGTGCAATTGATGCTTGGATTGTGAAATTGATAAAAGATCTATTGGTATGACGATATGACATGTATTAATTGTTGATTAAATGTGTTTAATGACGTGTTTATGTAAAAACTTAGAAATTCCTAGTTTTAAGCTATGTGACAAGTTAATTGAATGATTTGAGGAAAATTGATAGTTTTGGATTGGCTTGTGCTTGTTGGACTTATTGTTAGGATTTTGGATTGTTTGAGTGATATTTGAAGGAGTTATTGTTGTATATTTTCGTTGATGAAAATGCCAAGTTAGGACATGAGATTTTCGTTGACAAAAGTGTTAAGTAATGGCACTAGATTTTCGTTAACGAAAAGTGTCAAACCATGACATGAGATTTTCATTAATGAAAGTGCTAGGCCATGACATGTGATTTTCATTGACGAAAATTATTATGTCATGACATGTGATAGTCATTGATGAATGTCTAGTTTTGTTGAATATGATGTCTTATGTTGAATAATATGGAGGGTATGGTTGATGGAGGATGATTCGACCTAGGTAGGTTTAATGGGAATTTTGTAATTGTGTGTCTTGTGATGAATTTGACCAATGGCCATGGAATTATTTAAGGTTGTTATGGTTTGATGGGTTCAAGTTAAGGGAAATAATTGATGTAGCCTGGATTATGTTCATTATTGGTTTTGGCTTGATGTTGAAAGGTTGTATGCTTGGGGTGCCATGTGAGGAATTCAGCCATATGCTGTTTTAGATTATGTTCATGAATTATTGATGGCATATGAGTTGTGTTCATGGTTGTTTAAAACTAGATGGTTTCAAACTTGTCATGTCATGTTAATTATATTCATGGTTGGTTTAGACTTGATCAATGATATTCGGCTTTGTCATGTCATGTGGAATGTATCCAGAAATGACTTGATGACATATGATTCATGTTCCACCACAAAAAAAATAGAGTTTAGCGATGAAATATTTCATCATTAAATGCCCCGATTCCGTCCCTATTCGTGAATAGCGACGGAATAGCAATAGAAAATATTTCGTCACTATTTCACTTGTCAATAATTTTCTGCGACGAATATTCAGTCCATCGCAACATTTAACCACAAAAAATCCATTGCTAAACCAAAGAAATTCGTCCCTAATCTTGTCGTCGGATCGATCATTTTGTTCGTAGTTAATCCATCTCTATTCCGTCGTTAATTTTGAAATAAATTTATCGCTATTTTATCGTTATTTTTGAAAATAAATCCATCACTATTCGATCGCTAATTTTGAAAATAAATATGTCACTCAAAATTAACAAAATTTAAATTTTTAAGGTTTACGTTAGCATACAAATTAAGCTAACAATTAACATAACAATAAAATAAAACTTAATAAAATTAATCTAACAACTATAAAAATAAAATAACAACTAACAAATTTAAACTACTACATATAAATTAACATAACAAGATAATTAACAACATTCAAACAATTAATAAACTAACAAATAACAAAATTTAACTAAAAATTTATAACATTTATCTAATTAAAAAAAATATAGGAGTTAGAAAGAGAGTTTTACCCGATAGATGAAGGATAGAGAACACGGATCCGATCCGATTTTGAGAAAGAAAGATACCCCTCATTTTGTTGAACGATTCCGAAAAAGATTTACTAGTGTGGGGCGGCGTGGGTGGGCGTTTTGTGGGCGGCGGCGAAGGGGAGGTGTGGTGGAGGTGAGGGAAACAAATGGAGAAAAAAAGGAGGAGGGATATATAAAGGCAAAATAACAACAAACTCGATTTCATCGCTAATTTAGAAGGAAATTTCCCCATAAATTAGCGATGGATGGCCGATCCATCGCTAACTATGTGTCATTCTAAGGGAAATTTCCTCAAAATGGCACAAAATCGGTGATGAACTTGATGTCCGTCGCTAATTTTGCAAGATTAGCGACGGATTAACTTCACTAAATTACGAGAATTTTAACGACCGAAAAAATTCCGTCGCTAATTTTTTCATTTAGCAACCACAAGTGCCGTCTCCGATTTTGGCATTTTTTTCCTCGCCTTATTTAGCGATGAATTTTTAACCATCACTAAGTATCCCTCATTAGTCCATCGCTAATTCATCACAAAACACAACCTTTTATAATCCGTTGCTAATGTGTCGCTAAATAGCAATGGATTTTAATCCATCGTCATTAATTAGTATGTTTTTGGTAGTGTTCATGTTTATGCTTGATATTGCATTTTAATTATATTCACACCATAAAATATTTTATGTCATGATTTCAAGCATTCAATAAAAAATATGTACATGATTTTCATAGGAACATGGTTTTTATAAGGACATGACATAGTCGGGCATGTTTAAGAAGGACAAGAGAAATGATCAATCCTTATGAGATTCATTGAATCAAACATGCCTAAAGCCTTTTATGAAAAAAAGATGGCTGAAATTATATGTATTCGGTAGGATCCATATGAAAGACAAAAAAGAATTTCAAACATAAAAAATGATGGTTTAATTACATTTCATACATGGTTACATTTACTAAGCTTAGCTCACTACTTTGTCTTATGGTGTAAGTGAGCAAAAACATACTCGAAGATCAATTAGACGCATTGAGGATACCGACTATGAGCTATAAAGTTTACCAAATCTTGTACTATAGGTCTAGGTTTAAAGAAGGCTAAACCATTGTTAGGTTCGACCACTTATGCATAACACCTAAATTTGGCCATTTTAGGCTTTAGATGACACACTTTTATATTTTGGATGTGTGTGTGTGTGTGTGTGTGTGTGTGTGTAAATTATTAGTATTAAATGTCGAATCTTAAGAAACCTTAAGCTTTACATCGAATAAGAAATTTTGTTATGCATTTTCATAGAAGTTCGGGGTAAAAGACATAGTGTATTGTCTTGCACTCTCTAATGTGAGATAATAAAGTAGCACTCTTGACCCTAGTTGGGTTACGGGCATTACAAATGCTACTAGCCTAATAGTCATTCTTGCTCCAAGCCAAATAACCATACTCGTCCACTTTTAAGTACCTTTGCATTGCCAATAGTAAAGACCATTAATACCGGATCCACATTGGCTACTGTTATAAATTTTTTCACTAACTACTAGCCCTTCATCGTTGCTTACTAAATTTTTCACCACCTCGCTACTACTCCCGATAGCTTCTACTCGCTCCTAACCTCATAGCCCCTACCGTCCACCCCAAAGCTTCCCTTTAGTTTCTTGCCTTTCATCATAAGATATTTCCAAATCCACTTTGGCGACGGTAACTTTCCTTGCCATATCTTGTTTTTCACCACATACGTTACTTGTACAATCTTCACCATAATCGTGTCCAACCATTTCTAGATCATAACACTCCCTTATCTTCACCCATATCAGTTGTAATTTTTTGTCTCTCATATCACAAACCAATGGTGAGACTCTAGCTTCTAATGTAGCTCGTGTCTCTATTACTCCCCTATCCAATGTTGTAACACTTCCCTCCCATCATCTTTTCCGCCAAACAATAATTAAACTCCACTCCACCAACTTTCCTCTTTAGCGAACACAACCGTTACCACTATTGCAAGGCCACAACTTAATCCATTAAGTTGATGGCACAAGATAACCTTCTTTTTTATTCTTGTTAACTTATCCAGTCAATCCTCTTTATAAACCATAGTATTATCAAGATCAGCTTGTTCTAAGTTAGATCATTTCCTTTCTATTAAAAATTATACTTACTCATGTTGTTAGAGCCAAAGCTGATAAAGAAACATGAGCATACATAAATCCGATAGCTCAAAGCATAACTCGGTCATCGTCGTCGAGACAATGATGATATTCCCATATATATGTAGAGAGTGAAATCCATTATTGATCAATTAGTAGCCTTTGGCAATCGTATGCCCTCGGATAATGTTATGGATGCGATTCTTACAAGTCTTAGAGGTGTTTATCACTTGTTTGTGCATTCTTTACTGAGCTAGGCTTACTATTATCTCCTATGATGACTTATACAAATTGTTTCTAAGTAAAGAAAATTAGCTACTCTAGGAGGCTCCTATGTATGAGGTTATGATAACTCCTACTGACCTATTATTCCTATTGTGGTGGCATATCTTCTTGTGGGTAAGGAAAAGGACAAATGGGTCGTGGTAGTTATCGCCTTGTAAACACACCTCGCTGCAAGTAATTAGTTTCCTTCTTGCTCTTTTTAATAATTTTCTTATCACACACCAAATCTTTTCTATGCGGACACTAGTACCTTGACTTGCGAAAATTGTCATGGTCATGGCCACATTGCTTGTCAATGCCCTTACCAAAACAAAAAGCGATATTAGAACATCTCATCTCCCCAAATCAATAAGTTATCTTACATTCACCTCTCTAACATAGTCTTAGGTTGTGGATTTAGGTGCTACTCACCATCTCACTCGACAACGGTAACTTGACACTTTATTCTAATTATAATGGACCTAAAAAGGTCACTATTAACAATGGTAACACACTTCTAATCTCTTGTATTGGTCATTCTTTTGTTTGTCTAAACAATAAAAAATTTAATTTGATGAATTTTTTATATGTTCCTACTGCCTATGAGAAATTAATTTTTGTTAGCACCTTTACAAAAGCTAACAACGTGTCCATTGAATAATTTTCTACTTATTTTATAATTAAGGATATCCATATGAGGACAATACTTCACAAAGAGTAAAATAAGCATAGATTGTACTACTTGCACTAGTCTCGTTTGTCTTTCCATCCTTCGACCAAATCATTGGTAACTTTCTTATCTTCTTAGCATGACCATCTCGGTCATGCCTCAATTAAGACTATGCGATAAGTTCTTTGCAAAAATAATATTAGTGTTTTTTTATAATGATTTTAGTTCTTTTTGTCATACAAATAGTATTAAAAAAAGTACAAAGTTATCTTTTCCTCTTTCTAAATTTAAGGCCTAAGCACTTTTAGAATTAATTTGTTCGATGTTTGAGGACCATCACTGTTTGCTTCAATATATGATGCAAGATATTATGTTCTTTGATTACTTCAACAAATACTCTTGGATTTATTTTATTAAATATAAGTCCGAAGACTTAGTACATTCATCAAATTTAAATATGCTATAAAAAAATTTTTGTGTACCTATTAAGTCCTTTCAAGTTGATTAGGATGGAAAGTGTCAAGCTCTCACCAAGTATCTTGCTAATAATGGAATCACACAGCAAAACTCTTACCTACATACACCAAAATAAAATGGGTGTGTTGAATGCAAACATTACCATATTACTAAAACCAGTTTAGCAATGTTACATCACGCTAATGCACCCTTACATTATTACACTCATGCCTTTAATGTAAATATTTTTACTCGTCAATCGTCTTTCCAAACCTACGCTCTCTTGTCGGGTTCCATATACGGTGCTTTTTCAAAAGGATCCTAATTATCATCAACTCAAGACTTTTAGTTGTATGTGTTATCCATGACTCGCGTCCTTATGCGCCAATAAGTTTGCCCCTTGGTCCGAACAATGTGTCTTTTTGGGCTATAACAAACTTCATAAAGACTAATTTTGTTTAAATATTTCTAAAGTCAAGGTTTATGTTTTCCATTATGTTCGTTTCTCTAAACTTTAATTTTTATTTACTATTATTGGTCATTCTTTTACTCCCTTAGCAGCTTTTGGGTTTTTTTCTTAATTGCATCAAGCCACCTCTATTGTTGTCACATCAATCCGCCTCTCAAAGCACTCGACTTGTTGGAAGGTTTGGTGCCCTCTCATCTTTAACTCGCACCACTACTACACATGTTTCATCCATATCTTTAATCTCAACTACAGCTCTAATCCCGCATGTGAACATATTTATTGTGCCAACAATAGTCCAAATTTCAATTCCATTAAAGCCACTCCCTACTTTAGTCTAACCTACTCGCCAATCTACTACAAACTCAATAGTTCATGCTCTATTGGTAAGCCTTTTTCTTACTTTAGTGCTTATTGTTGCTTTTGTCTCACCATCCTCTTTTCAAGCACATCCCCGTTGCCAAACACCAAGCTCCATCCAAGTAGCCCTTCACCATCCAAAATCAATATTATTGTAGACCTCACCGATTCTCGCTTCTTCCACTCCACCCAATTTTGGTGCTCTCTCTCTATAACATATGCTATTTGACGTCTCTCCTTCATACACAAGGCATCAATTGATGATAAGATCCAAAACCGGCTCATTGAGTCCTAAAACTCTTACTAGTATTATCATAATTCCTATAAAGCTTCAAACATATACTCACCTTTTATAACACAATGTTTGTCGCTAAGCTATGGTAGAAGAAGTAAATGTTTTGCTTACCAATGATACTTGAGTTTTAGTTCCAACCCATCTAACTCAAAATGTGTTGCGTTGCAAATGAGTTTATTGTATAAAACATAAGGTCGATGGTAGTATTGATCATCATAAGGCTCATTTAGTTGTAAAAGGTTTTCATCAATGTCTTGGCATTGATTATACTAAAACTTTCTCTCCTATTATCAAGCCCACTATCGTGTGTCTAATATTGTCCTTTGTGGTTTTCAAAAATTGGGAGGTCGATCAATTAGATGTTTATAATGCCTTTTAACAAGAGAAAGCTTGATGAACAAGTATTCATAACACAACCTCAAGGTTTTGTAGACTCTTAGAAGCCTAATCATATTTTTCTTCCGAAACGCAGTCTTTATGGTCTCAAACAAACTCTACGTTCGTGGTTTAAGTGTCTTTCTAATACTCTACTATCTTTTGGTTTCAATGGCTCGAAAGTCGATACCTCTTTATTTTAGTATCGGAAAAATGATATTCTTACTTACCGCTTAGTATATGTTGATGACATACAATTAATAGAAAATTATTTTATTTTTATGTGTTCTCATTATTCGTCGCCTTGAAAGGCCAATTTGATCTCAAAGATCTTGGATGGTTGCATTACTTCTTTAGCATTGAGGCCACATGGGTGAATAATGAACTTCTCCTCACTCAATAAAAATAAATTAACAATCTTCTTCTACGATCCAAAATACAAGATAGTAATTCAATAGCTTATTTGGCTTGTCCAAAATTGAAACTTTTTACAACTAGTGGTTATTCATTCTCCGATAATTCCTTATACAAAATTATGGTGGGCGACCTCTAATACCTCACGATAACTTGACCAAATATTTCTTATATTGTAAATAAGGCATCACGAGTTCATGTATTATCCCAAGTAATGACCATTGGCAAGTTGTCAAATGCATTATGCGCTATTTAAATACCACCGGAAGGCATGATCTTTTTCTTCAACCTTCATCCTCTCTTCATTTATCTCGCTTGTAGTGATGCTGATTGGGCTTCAAGTATTGATTATAGGAAGTCTACCGTAGGTTATGCTATATATTTAGGTACAACTCTTATCTTTCGAAGCTTGTGCAAACGACAGCATCATTTTTAAATCTTCAACAAAAGCCGAGTATATGGATTTGTCTACTATAGCATCTAAAGTATTATGGCTATAATCATTTGCTTAGAGAATTAAAGTCTTGGTCATCATCATCTCCAATCTTATGGTGTGATAACTTAAGTGCTACATATTTGACACATAATCATGTCTTTCTTGCATGTTCCAAGCACTTAGAAATTGATTTTCATTTTGTCCGAGATCATGTTAGTAAGGGCCAAATTTTAGTAAGATATATCTCCTTCGAAGATCGGATAGTCGATTACTTAACGAAAGTGCTTTCCCGCCAATGTTTTTAGTTTTGAAGAGACAAGTTGACAATTTAACATTTTTCCGTTCAACTTCAAGAAAGGTGATTGGATTGTAAGATAATAAGAGTTATACATAGAATAGAAGTCTACTCTTTACTTGTACTTATCGGATAGACTCTCTATACACTATATATACATCAATACAAAGGACTCTAATGGTGCGTGAATTCATCAAAGATAAAATATCTTCACCATGCACATATATTTTGCGACCTATGAAGTCGTTTTTATTAAATATGGTACATAAATTGGAAACAAAAAATATTACAACAAAATTATAGTGACTATTAATAATGAAATTAATCTCCATCTCTTTTTTATATTTTGTTAAGATATTTGTTTACAAGGTGTCGATGTAATTTCGTCCTCGTCTCCATTATTTAATTTGTTGAGATATTTCTAATTCCATTGTTCCCGATTTTTATGTTTCTTCTTCTTTGAATTTGTTATCCCAAAAAAATGCCGATAGATCATGGCGGAGGCTCGGGGTAGAAGAAGTCCATGGGCACCTTTGGACCCAAAAACCTCATAAGCATTATATTTTTAGCTCAAAAATCCGTAATCCATACTAAATTTACAATGGTACTTTGACTCGGCTTAATATTTTTATATTACTCGTAGCTATTTATTCTTAAAAGAGATAGATATTTTTTAGAGAGAGAGAGAAATAGGCAAAAAATAAAAAATTGAGCCAAAGTGGAAATATTTTAATCTTTTTTTTTTTTTTTGTTAATCTAGAGTAATTCATTTTTATTTTATGCATTTATCTCTTTTTTTCAAAAATAGACCAATGAAATAATTATTATAAACATGAAGTATTTTGAAAAAACAAATTGTACTTCTAACTTTGAAAGTTACACCACATGAAAGAAGTTAATTTCTTTGGGAGATATCATTAATAACTCTTTAACTTGTTATATTGAAATAATATAAAATTATTTATGTAATTTCAGTTAATAGTAATTTAAAATTATTTTTAGAGCTTTAACTTAATAAATTGTTAAAATAAGGTGGTTTTTTAACATATTATTAAAATTTCAATAATCAACATTATGAGTTTAAATTTCAATAATCAACATTTCTTCAAAAATCCTATGCGTGTTTCAAGCACATGATATCTAAGCTGTTGGGTAGGAAATGGGCCTTGACGATCAATAACGTACGGAAAAAGAAGCACTGATTGAATGATTCAGTTTTCTAGAGAGCGACTTGATAGGTGATAGCTAACTGTCCGTCTTGCAGTGTCAGTAATGTCGACATTCATGGGAACAATCTTGTGGAAACTATCGACCTAAAGAAAGTTGTAAGAAAATGCGTCACGTTTATATTCTCCCAGCAGAGACATGGCCTAAATTAATAGCCACAACTTGGAGATTAGGAAATCAATATGGGTCAACGTAGATAGCACTGAAGTGATTGCGTGACGGATGTTCCCAGCTGATTACAGCTCACAGCCACAAAAAAGCTTCAGATGCATCTTAAAAGTCTTTTACTAAGACTCTTCTAATATTGCAATAACTCTATGAGTGATCATCAACGACGAGCGCTTGAATCATTGTATTATGAAACTGTTTCTATGTAATATATCAAGGTATTTTGATAGCTGTGTTGTGATACGATTGGGAGCTTCAAAACTTTGTAAAACGAAAGAATGAACAATAGAGTTGTGAAAGTTGCGTGAAAACTATGGAGTTGGACTAAATGTGCAGCTATATCCACTATCAAGACACAAATCTTCTGCTAAATAGACATGTATAATAAATGTAGATGGTGCATTCGAACTTGTAGAGAGAAAGTTGAACAAGTTCCAGTTCCATGGGATTTCAAATAGAAGTTCTGACACAAACTTTTAAGAATACTCTTACACAATGGTTAAATGGTAAAACCTCATCCAAGCTTTAATCTATTTAAAAATCAGTCCTTAAAAGTTTAATTTTTAAGTTTAACATTTCCTTAATTTTATTTTATTTATTTTTTATTATTATCTTCTTATATATATATATATTCTTTAATTTTTTTTATAAAAATAATAATAATCACATAAATAGGTATATGAGGAAAATCATTTATTAAAATTTATCCAGGGCTTCCTAAAAAAATTTGAGATCATTCCGAGTTATTTTTTATTTTTCTTAATTTTTTATATTTTTAATATTCATAAAATAAAAAATATATATAATTTTCAATGTTTAAATTTTTTTATTTTTTTTTCAAAAAATAGGTTGCATTTTTTTTCCATGTGTGTTTAAAATATCAGCTCAAACTACAAATAATTGAATTTTTATAAGAAAAATGATAGCTGAAAATTACAGAAATGACTAAATTTCAAAAAAATAAAAATAAAAATAAAATAAAGTTCAAGTAAGGTCAAATCTGAAATTAGAAGTTTACATAGTGAATTTTAAATGAACTCTCAAGTTTATGGAAGGTTTGACCCATTTAGCCTCCTGTAAATTCACATATTTACTTTATGGGATATAAGAGAATGTATAAATACAATTACATAATTAAAAGTATAAAAATATATTGAAGTTTTGTCTAATTATATAATAATATATTGAATATGACCAGTCTAGATGACCAGTGTTAATCCCCATCAGTGGGTCTGATGATACGTTTCAATCTACACATCTTCATCCACATTATATTGAAGAACGAGATTCACTTTTTTCTTTAAGGATTGATTGGTTTTTCAAGAAAACACCAAGGTAATACTCGTCCAGATCACACCTCTCTCTAATTATTAATTTTACTATTAGAAGGCCTCTCAATTTATTAAGAAGCCTTATTGTTCAATAACTTAAGAAAAAGAATATTGTATTATTGGGCAATTAAAATCATTTTTTAAAAGTTAAATTTATTGAAATAATCTTTAATATTTGTAAAAGAGTTTGCTACATCTCCACAGTCTTGTAATATTTCTTTTAATTTGAATTTTATTGGTAACTCCTCCCCCGTTTTCTATAATGAACTGATTTTTATCAATAATAAAGTAAAATGTAGTAAAAGATTAAAAGCCTTTTTTTTAGATTAACAATAAAGTTCCATTTCAATTCTAAAAATATAATGTGGAATTTTTCTTTTCAAAGAAAAATATTATTATTTTTAGCGTTTGGCTGGAGTATTAAAATAAATAAAAAATATTTTAAAATAAAATTAAAATATGTTTAGTATCATATTCAGGACCAAGACAACAAAGACTCTGTATTATATATATATATATATATATATATATATATATATATATATATATATATATATATCCTTATTATTTATTCTTTTTTTCCCAATATTGTACTTAATTATTACTAAGAAATTAAAACATGTGAAGTGTTTGAACATTGAAAATCATTATTCACTCTCTTACAAATCACTATTCATTACTGTAGCTTAGTTTTTTTTTTTTTTTTCCATATAAATTCAATATGGATTCACTTTATAGAAGGAG